AATAAAGTCGGGTTTGTTCAAATTTCGAGAACGACTGAACCGACAAAAGCATTAGAAAATTTACGAAAAATAAAATAAAATTTTATCCCGTACAAAATGTTCATGGATTTTGTTATTTTTATTAAATACCTTTACGCCTGAGTTAAATGACACCGACATCAAGGTTCATCAATTTAAGTTTAAAATAATAGGCAGTAATGTATGAAGAAAGAGCTTCTATTCTGTATCTACCTATGCCCGTGTATTTTTGATCGGTGTCAAATCGGAGTTTTTGGTGCGGGGTACGCGGGTGTTGCTCGCGGCGTGAAGGTCAAACGCCCAAGGTCATTGAGGACTCTAATCGCCTTAAAATGTCGGCATCTGATCCTACACAAAGGAGTGCAATTTCTGTTGCTACTATTATGTATTCTGTGGTGAAAGCAAGACAGACAGACAGACAGAGTTACTTTCGCATTTATAATATTAGTATAGATTTGAATCACGCGTGCAGTGTTGCCAGAAGGTTACTTTTGTAACCTTTTAGGTTACTTTTGAACTGCATTGGTTACTTTTAGGTTACACTAATGAAAAGGTTACTTTTAGGTGATTTTTCAGAAATTGTAGAATTAACTTTTACAATATTAATAGTGACAATTTAAAAATTATGTCATAAACTGCATTTAAACATGAATTAAAATTTGATTTATTATTTGTTAAAGAAAATTAGTTTTAACGAATGTTTTTCGATAATAAAACGCAAATCCATGATAATGGTTTTATACGACCGGTCACTTTTCGGTCTTCATGAAATGGTCAAAATTTCGAATTTAGGAAACCTTACACAATCGCTCCGCACCCCCCAGGATGAAGAATGTATGAAGGTTACTTTTTATTCAAAAAGGTTACATTTTTTAATATTTCTGGTAATTTCTGACAAGACCTGACTGGCAACACTGCACGCGTGTAAACACTGCAACATAAGAAGCAACCTTTTGCAACAAAAAAGTGTGATGTGTTATTTTTAGGTATTTATTTGCCTGTCATTTCAGTTGGGTTCCATTGCCATTATTTACAATAATAGTAATTATGTACTTACCCATAGCACAACCACATTTATTTTAAACTAGCTGTGCCTGCGGCTTCGTACGCGTGAAAATAGTTTTATTAATATTTCCCGTTTTTGCAACATTTTTCTTTACTGCTCCGCCCCTATTGGCTCTAGGGTGATGTTATGTAGCCTAAAGCCTTCCTCAATAAATGGGCTATCCAACACAAACATATTTTTTCGAATCAAATTACGAAGTAGTTCTTGAGATTAGCGTTTTCAAGCAAACAACTTGAGCTTTATAATATTAGTATAGATGACATGGACACTTTTTGATTCCTTGTCATACATATTTTGACACTATCGTTAGATGAAATCCTTATTTCTTGATTTCAATCATCAGAAGCAGTTGTTACAATACAAAACGTTTTTTGCAGAGCCTTCAACGAAAGAGTTCAACCGATGGAAGGTGCTATGGAGTTGTTATTCGCTGCCGGGTTCAGGCAAACGAAGTTAACCAGCCCAGATGGGACGGAGGAAGACTATCTAGTCTTCGGCAGGGAGAATGTGGAGTCTGTTGAGAGCTTGGTGGTAAGGCTTTTACTGAAATAACATTTCTAGCATAGGCAAAACAAAATTGATTTTTGAAACATCTCTGTGTTGTGTATGGAGAATTTAATGAAATCTAATTTTTACATTCAAAAGTTCTTGTGATTTTTATAAAACCAAAAATCTATTATTTAAGAATATTCTAATTATAAATTTTGGCTAGGAATGATAGGATACTGGCTTTTACCCGAAGCTTCGCCCATTTGAATTTACATCTGTCACAGAAACCATTAAAAAGAAAAAATATCGCGCGCGTGTAAAAGCGATAGCCGGGATAAAAAAAAATCCTTTAATTTTGTCTGGGATTCAATTTCAATTCGATGACTCTTTTATAATGCGAACAGCTAGGGACTGGAATTCGTTGCCTGCTGCCGTCTTTCCCTAAGACTATAATCCGGGCCTTTAAAGGCGAGAGTGAATAGACACCTACAGGGCAGATATGTACCATCCTAGACTGCATCCCACTCAACATCAGGTGCGATTGTGGTCAAATACATGTCTTGATATGCATAAAAAAAAATGTCGGTGTATCATTTTCAATAAATACAGTAGAATCCTGATTATCCGGATCAATTAAAACCAGGGGTGTTCCGGATAATCGAATTAACTTTTTACACACAGAAAAAGAAAGGGTTTGCAATACATCATTTAGAGTCTAAAAATCTAAATATTAAACCATTGGATGAATCCATTTCTCTTAACAATGAACTAAGACGACGTCCTACCGTGATACAGTGGCGGCGCCTTCCGTTTTTATGGATCCAGACCCTAAATCGGCAATTCATGAGGGCTATCGTTTTTATACTTAACAGTTGGCACCCCTGGCGATTGACAGGACCTTACTCTACAGTGGCGCCATCTTGATGAGTGCAAATGCGATAGTCCTCCTACCACTTTAGCGCTCACCAGTTGGCGCCACTGTCTTCGCTACTAGCAAGTGACAGGACCTTACTCTACAGTGGCGCCAACTGGTGAGCGCTAAAACGATAGCCCTCATTAGAAACCGTGAAAAATGAGTCCGGATAATCGAGATTCTACTGTAAATAAATTATATTCTTCCCAAAGACGTTGATAGACGCGCTGCGCTCCGCGGAACCGATCCAATTAGAGCTGGACCGCAATCTGCAAGTCCTTCTGCCCTCGCAAGCCGCGGCCAAGGTCCAGCTGCCGGCCTCGTTCTATGCTCTATCACCGGAGGAGATCAAGAGGGAACACCAGCTCAGGTTAGTTGAAGCTATTTTTATATTCTTGTTTAGTTAATATAGAAACATTATTGATAAATAAATATGAATTTTGTTATCTTAAATCTCCTCGAGATATCAGCGAGAAAGCTTTTGAGCTTTCCAAAAAGTCGAGGACCTAGATATGACGACGTCACATCTTAAAAATTCATATCAAATCAAATAGTTTATTCAGTACATAAACCTGAAGCCTTTTCCAGGGCGCTTGTACGCGTCCCAAATATAGCTTGTCCTATGTTTTGCTTGGTCCAAAATCCTAAATGATTTCTAGTACAAACCTGCAAATTGTATGAGTTATTCATTGTTACTTCATTTTTAATTATAAGAATAAGCAAAATTTTATTTGACTCAAAAAGAAAATAAAAAGTAATTAATTGTATACTTTTGAAATGCACTTGACGTCCATTCGTTTCTGCATGAGGAAAAATGTACATCCATTCGTCCTAATACATTTTCTCACATAATAGACTTGATTTAATTTTATACAAATATTTAGCTGTTTGGTTCTGACAGTCCGGCAGAGTTATAGAACTACCCTCACTCTTCCCGTGGCTGTCATAAGAGAGAAATAATTAAATAAAATTAAACTAATAATATAATTTGTAATGTCTTATTTTTCTTGACCAGGACCGAAGCGATAGAGCGCAGTCAGATGCTTCGCACCAAGGCCATGCGGGAGAAAGATGAGATGCGAGAGATGAGGAAATACAAATTCGCCATCATCCGGGTTCGGTTCCCCGACGGGATCTTGCTACAGGTAATTTAGGATTATTTTTTCTCAAAAATAGTATTTAACACTCATCATCATCATCATCACGCTGACGGATCAGCAAGCTGAAGTGGCAGTGGGCAGGGCACATAGTACGCAGAACTGACGGCCGATGGGGCAGCAAGGTTCTGGAATGGAGGCCACGTACCGGAAAATGCAGCGTGGGACGTCCACCCACAAGGTGGACCGACGACCTGATAAAGGTAGCGGGAAGGCGCTGGATGCAGGCCGCTACCAACCGTGCGATGTGGAAGTCATTGAGGGAGGCCTATGTTCAGCAGTGGACGTCCTGTGGATGAAATGATGATGATCATCATCATCATTTCAGCCACAGGACGTCCACTGCTGAATATAGGCCTCCCCTAATGACATCCATGATGACCGGTTGGCAGCGGCCTAGTAATAAGCAAAAGCTTTTCTTTCATTTCTTTTGGTTTTTGAAGGAGCGCCAAACAATTTTTTAAACTGGCAGAGAATGGCATTAATTTCGGCTGAGTTACCTGAGAATTAAGTGACATGGTTTTGTGTACTTTCTTTAAATAAATTATTTAGATATAACTCGGGTCAGTTAGTTACTTGTCATCTGAGAGTCTATTTGTATTGTTAGCACTGTTTGTATTGATCTAGAGTCTAGACGTATTTTTTTTGCAAAATAAAGTATCATTTAGGGTCAGTGTACATGTTTTCAGCGCTGCAAAATTATGTCCAAAGATTTATTTATTTATTGCTGAATTACCAACAAAATCACTTCACATAAATTTAATCATTATCGTAAATATCACTATTTACATTCCAGGGAACGTTCGGCGTATACGAGCGGTACAACGAGATTCACGAGTTTGTCCAAGAGAATTTGGAACACAACGGATTGCCTTTCGTCCTCAACACACCCACAGGACACAAACTACTACTCGAAGAAGACGCGAATAAGACCCTTATTGACCTGAGATTAGTACCAGCCACAGTGCTCACATTCGCTTGGCACTCGTCGGTGTTTGAAGAAATCAATAATAGCCCGAACAAAGACGTGTTTTTGAAGCCTGAAGTCATGGTGTTAGTTCAAGAGGTCTAGTTGAGGGTATGTTTTAAAGGAGTTCACATCTATCTGATACAGATGTGAACGTACCCTTATTTGTCTGATTTTAACTTATTTTCGAATAATTGCTTGCGTTCTTATACGATACGAATAATATGTAAAGCCTGGTCCGTGAGCACGCAGAACTTTGTCCAATGACCTCAAGCTACCCATCCTTATCGCTCGCGCGTAATTATGTTGCTATCGCGCTCGCACACTCACTGCGGGTGCCAGTCGCACAGTCGCGACAGCAATATAATTACGTGCGAGCGATAAGGATGGGTAGCTAGGGGTCATTGGACAAAATTCTACGTGCTCACGGACCGGGCTTTACTTTGTATTAAATATCTCAATGTCTCTTCCAAATTTTTTGGTCAATTTTGTGATTTTGTAGTAATTATTCCAACAATGTTAATACAATGAAGTGCATACAGTCGACTCCAGGTTAAACTACTTATAAGTTTTTGTGGCAAAAATTACACCTTGTATTACAATAATTGACGGTAGTTGTAATATAATAGTGTCACTCTCGGAACTAAAATCACAATATAGCAATAAACTAAGAGCTTCAAAGTAATAAAGCATGTTAAAATCATACCACTAGACTAAATGTACGCTATAAAATTGAAAATCAAACTAGATAAAAATTGGCAATACCTAGATAGATACAAGTAAACTAGCTTCTAAGATACAAAACAAATTCGGAATTCATTGCCTTAATAAATTATGATTTATACTAAAATTTTATTAATAATTGTCAATTTACCTTCACGAGAGCATTTATTGCATAATATTGTCTAAAAAGTAAGTTATGGAGTAAAAAAATGCCTTACCTCGTCTGCCGAATCCATCCACACATAATCAAAACTTACCTGCACATTCACTGTCACTTTTATCTTTCCACCACTGGCAACACTATTGACTAAATGACGTAGATACATGTCAGTGTTGCTAGTAGAAAAATCTACTAAAATAGTAGAAATCACTTTAATTAGTACACAATACAACGTTGTACTAAATATGTTATTAAATTAACCTTATTCTATGTCAAACACTTTTCAATATTATAATAATGTTAGATTGTACGAAGAGTAGCGTGGGACGTCCACCTACAAGGTGGACCGACGACATCGTAAAGGTAGCAGGGAAGCGCTGGATGCAGGCCGCTACCAATCGATCAATGTGGAAAGCATTAGGGGAGGCCTATGTTCAGCAGTGGACGTCCTATGGCTGACATGATGATGATGATGATGTAGGTACGAAGAGATATAAAAGTACGTGTGATGTATGGAAAGACTGTAATGTAATGAGAATTTAAGGTTTTAATTTATATGTCATTTTATTGGGTACAAGCATATGAGACACATTTTTCTTGTTCTAATCGTTCATTTAATATAGAAAATATTATATGTTAATGAAAACAAGATAAAATAATGTTGAATAAAATAATATTGTTTTATCGAAGAATGCTGTTTCTTTGAAAAGTTTATCTGAAAACTGTAAGCCTACATTCGAATTGAATAATAACTACTGCAAATGTATAAAAAGTTGTATAATTTACTTGCATTTTAAATATTGAAAAGATGCGAAAAAATCTGTATTTAATAGAAGTGAGAATGGGTTTGATTGACTTGATATTATGATTTTCCATCCATTTTACCAGTCACCTTATTTCCTTGTGGTAGTTCTCATAATAACACGCCACAAATCCATAATAACGAAACTACTTCATGCAACTCTAAGCTCACTTCGTTTAAGTCTGTAGAATAAGTGGGAACTATATTTACGAGCAAAAGTATAATAAAAAAGTATGGAATCACCTCGTTGTGTTTAATTCCAAACCATCTTAAGAACTGAATGACTTTAGTTTTATCTATAGTATCAATTTAAAGTATAAAATATTACCTGTAAAATGGTACCATTTTTATTTAACTTCTATTAGTAATTTAGTTCTTACTATCGCTCGGAACAAGTAGGGTGCTTCCATACTTTTGCTCGCGAGTGTACATAAATAAATATCCTTGGACATTTTACACTACGCTTCTAGTCCCAAACTAAGCAAAACTTGTACTATGGGTACTAGACAACATGCCTTGTGTTTTTCGAACTTCCATCATTACCTTTCGTTTCGGTTTTGGCTAACTTTTCTACGAACGCGCCTTGCTGGAATGCGACTCTCCCTCCCACTTACCCGTATTTGTCCCGTCCGCAACAGAGCGTCGATGTGACGTCACGGCTGCCAGGTCAGTTAACTTGATCGAGTTAACAATGTTTAAAAAATAAAACTCAAGTCCATGCATCCCATTCTCCTTTCTACATCATGTTATAGCCTGACCAGGAACATAAAAACCCTGGCATAGAGGCGCGTCAATTGCATTTGATAGTGCAACACTGAGTACAGTCGTACCTGTGTTAAATTAATAGGCTAACTTTATGTATCAGGATTCTGGATTACGGGCTAATTTGATATTTTCATAAATTAACGAAAAAATATTATTATAGGTAACCTGGTTTGAATAAATTAAATGAAACCATCAATTGAGTTAGTAGGATTTATTTTATTATTCGTCAATAATCAAATTCAGAACTTGAATATTCAACTGCAATGTCTGCTCATGAACGCTTCAAACTCGGTACTTCTTTCCCAATGCCATAAAATTCAACACTTAGAAAGTGACAAAAAACTTTAAAATAGGTAGTTGAACCAAACCACAGCTAATTTTCATATAGTCGTGAAAGAAAAGTGGTTCACAATGTGTTAAAGTATTTGTCGAAGAGAAATACTAAGGGTTCGGACAATATTTTCATTGAATAATTTTTCCGACAAGGGTGTCAAATTGACTGACATGTTTATCGTATAGTACAGTCCACTATGAAAATTAGCTGTGGTTTGTTTCAACTACCTATTTTAAAGTTTTTTGTCACTTTCTAAGTGTTGAATTTTATGGAATTGGGAAAGAAGTACCGAGTTTGAAGCGTTCATGAGCAGACATTGCAGTTGAATATTCAAGTTCTGCATTTGATTATTGATGAATAATAAAATAAATCCTACTAGCTCGATTTATGTTTTCATTTAATTTATTTAAACCAGGTTACCTATAATAATATTTTTTCGTTAATTCATGAAAATATCAAATTAGCCCGTAATCCTAAATCCTGATACATAAAGTTAGCCTGTTAATTTAACACAGGTACGACTGTACTCAGTGTTGCACTATCAAATGCAATTGACGCGCCTCTATGCCAGGGTTTTTATGTTCTTGGTCAGGCTATAGTACCATTAGTTTTCCGCAACATGGCGAGGGTTTTTATGTTCCTGGTCAGGCTATAAAAGTCCATGCATCACCCATTCTCCTTTCTACATAATGTTACTATAATTATTACTTATAGCCAGAAGTGTAGCGAGTTGTGTTTGCTGTTTTATATTTATGCATGTTCTGCATTCATGTAAGATGTTAATTTATTGTATAAACTGTGTATGTATGTATATCGAGGTGTTAACCGATATTGGTGAATAAATTTAAAACCACGTTAAAAATTAACTTGTTTTATTACTTAAATTGTTTGTACAAAATGCTTCATAGAGAATCTAACAATGCTTTTAATCTGATTGCATGCATCAAAATTATTCATGCAACAGAAAGTTACTGATAAAACTCGGTCCGATAGTGAGAACCGAATCTAACACCCGTATTCACAAACGATGCTCGCGTGAAGCAAATCGAACGCACAGCGTTGAATAGAGCTCAGATTGGTTCGTGTGTCACCCTGTGCGTCCACGCGCAGTGTGAGACCTCATAGTACTGTTTGTGAATACGGGCGAAAACTGATAAAACTGTCGGCACGTTTTAAGCCCAGAACACACGGTGAAACGCAATTGCAACGAAACTGCAACTTCTAGTTGCTATTGAGTTGCATCTAAGTTTCTGCCATGGCGTCCGTTGAGAGACTACACATGACGCGACCAGTTTGAAACCGGTTTGAAATGGTCGCGTCACGTGTGGTCTCAACAGAATCTATGGCAGAAACATAGATGCAACCCAAAAGTAACTATAAGTTGCAGTTTCGTTGCAATTGCGTTTCACCGTGTGTTCTGGGCCTTAGTGAACCTATTTTAACTCTTTTAACAATGCAATAAGGTTCATAATCACGCAGCCACGTCGTTCGCGACTGGTTCTGGTACTTTGTTCTCAATGGTGACCGATTTGGTGCAGTCTTCGGTCTTGTAGATGCCGACGAGGCGGTTGGAGACTTCAAACATGTTGTAGCGGAGCGAGATGATTATGAATTGCGCGTTTTTCGTACGCTCCTGTGGAAAAGGATAATGGTGTCAAAAATATAGCTTTCCCCAATTTTATCGATAGATAGATTTAGATACTCTTTAGTGCACACCCCCAAAACTGACAAATCAAAGAAATATAAAAAATCAAAACGGCACATTTTTAGCCGTCTCATCACTAAGAAGCGATCTCCGGACCACCCAAGAAAGTTTATTGGGTACCCACTTTTTTTAAGTCGATTAAAAAGGGATGTGGTGGAATTATTTTCTAGAAATAAAGTAATATTAAACAACACACAAACATCAGACTTGTCGGCCGATAGTTTAGTCGGCAGTCTGCTTCCAATGTGTGTGAGGAATCGGCCGACACCAAATCGGTGTAATGTAAACATGTTCATAACGACTATCAGCCGACTAAAACCCTGTAGTCAACGGGGAGTCTTAGGTTGGGTTGCACCATCTTACTTTAACCGTAACTATAGCGATAACGAGTGTATTTATGGAGTTTGACAGATTTGTTCGTTTCAGCCAAATAACTTCCACTGCTGGACAAAGGCCTCCCCCAAGGTTTTCCACAATGAACGGTCCAGCGCTGCCCGTATCCAGGCTCTTCCCGCGACCTTTACCAGATCGTCGGTCCACCTAGTAGATCCGCAGGAGAACCAAATTAACCGACACAGCTCGCAGAATTGCTAAAACAAAGTGGCAGTGGGCGGGGCACATAGCTCGTAGAGACGATGGCCGTTGGGGCAGGAAAGTTCTCGAGTGGCGACCACGGGCTGGAAGACGTAGCGTGGGCAGGCCTCCTGCTAGGTGGATTTGTGACTTTGTTATAATTAAAGTAAGATGGTGCAACCCAGGGTTAATTTCTATTCTACCACACAACGTTCACCACATACCTTAATATAATTAGCAACAATGGACACATTCTTGAAGTCCAAAGCGGCGTCAATTTCGTCCATCACATAAAGAGGCGTGGGCTTGTAGTAATGTAATGCGAAGACCAGCGCTAGAGAAGACAGCGTCTTCTCACCGCCGGACAGGTTTGAAATGTTCTTCCAAGATTTGTTGGGGGGACGGACGCTGGAATAAAAAGTTGAGTAATTTTAACCTACTGCGATATACCATAAGTGTTAAAAATTAAATAAAAATGACTTAATTATTATTAATTAAATGTAAAATAAAATAGGATTCAGAGTAATAATATCTAATTTATAACTCTATAGTCTTTTTCAGCTAAGATGATTCGTATGACGTTTCGAGTTTGAAAGTTATAGAGATGTCACATAACTAAACCATATTAGCGATTTATCTATCGATTTTTTTCTAAGAGTTAGTAAAACCTACTCTTAGAGAAATATTTTGTATAGGTGTTATTTAACAAAAACATAACAAAAATATTTTTGAATTATCACTTCACGGGATTTATTGCAACAATATCTATTTTAACGGTAAATAAAATATTTACCCTCCCGACGTTTCGGCTCGGTTGCACGAGTCATGGTCGCGGGCAGACTTAGTCTGCCCGCGACTATATTTTATTTACCGTTAAAATAGATATTGTTGCAATAAATCCCGTGAAGTGATAATTCTATAGTAAAAATGCAACATAATAGTTTAAAAAATATTTTTACATCGTATTTAATTAAAATATAATCAATAGACTCAGATTTTAGTATATATTTCAAGACAAGTAGTTTTTTTTAATTTTTTTATTGCTAATAAAATACAAATATTTAATTAAAAAATATTCTGCATATTATGTAGTATGCGTAATATGGATAACCTTGAAGTGTCATACGGATCATCTTAGGTGAAAAAGACTATAGTATTAAATGAACAATAGCGTACTTAATACACTAGTCAAAAGTCAGGCGTTTTATGAGGTGTGGCTAATTTACACATTTCGCCAACTACTAACTTTTTATTGCACCCAAGCTACAAAAAATCTTATTCTACAGTTAAGTAACTTCAGCGTTATTTGGGTTTTCAGGGCTAAAACTTGATACATAATACAGTCAGCTTCAAATAGTCGTCTTTGTTGCAATAGAGTTATGTTATCAACTATTTGACGCTGACTGTTTAAACATCAAAGTCAGGAGCTTTTTTTTGGCACTAATACATGGCTTATATAACATTTGAATGCTCAATTTACCTGAATATGATTCCTTCAGTGAACGGGTCAAGCGAATCTACCAATTCGAGCTCCGCATCGCCTCCAAGCGTGATCATTTGGTACATCTCTTTCAGTTTCGCTGTTATTGTGTTGAAGCCTGAGGAACAAAAACAGTATCAGACAAAGATATTTCTAAAGACACATAATACAGAAGTTATTTAACAATATGGACAAGCGCTGGTTAGGTACCTAAAAATGCGCTCATAAATGTAAAAAAGTTTTAGAGACCTCATTTAATGGGTGTTTAGTGGAAAACTCCTTTTATTTCTTAGGCTGAGTTGTCTTATTTATTTGTCTAATATACATGAAGTAGTATTTCAATTCAATTTACACAATTTTAAGGAGACTGAATTTCTGCCACCATTTTTCAGCACCAGCCGATTTGTTGTCCCGAAGTGGTGGTAGTGCAAGCTATATTCGAACGTGTATGGTCCCTGAAAAGGGCTTCATAATATTGAATTAATTTTATTTTAATATCTTACCGCACAGGAAGTCGGTCGTCCGTTTCTTCCTCAGCTGATCGTAGAGGGCGCGCATTTCATTCCTTTTCGTTGTAATCTCGTCTAATTCAGCCGCGCGTTTCAAGTATAACTCTTCTTTTGCTTTGTAATCCTATATTAAAGTGACATAGATAAAACACTTAACCACAGTTAAAACAAGAAAAGCAAATATTATGTAGCTATTATTGAAACGATTTGCAACAAAAATTTAGTTTTGAGTCGCTAGACTATCAAGACAAGTTTTACATCGATGGATGGGACTAGAGATATCAAATAAAACATGAATTATAATACAATATAGAAATGTTTCAAAAATTTTCTCCCTGCAATAGCAGCTTTCAGTCCAAAACAAACAAAAATTCGTTGACCTCCGTTGAACTAGAGAATATTATAAGCCTGCACGCGTTGGTGTGGTTGAAGCTTTAGAAATAAGTTTCGTGTAATGACAGCATTCACACCTAGTGATGTAAAATGAAAAAAAAAAACAAATTTGTTTTTTTTCAGATTTTTGAAAAAAAAGACATGAAAAAAACCTTAGATCCGTTTTTTTCTAAATTTGGTTTTTTTTTCTGCCTTGCATTTTAGGCCTGAATATACTCGTTTCGGCATACTCAGGTATTTTAGTTGGTAATCACACTCGAAAAGAACACTCGAATAGCACAAAAACTAAATAATTTGATATTGAACTTTCTCCGTCCGTCACACACCCCAACTGCGTTAAGCCAACTACGTTCAAATAAACATAAACCTAAAGGGGATTTCTCCAGAAAAAAAAACAGTTTTTTTTTTCAGGTTTTTTTTCAACGTTTTTTTTTCACACCAGAAAAAAAACCGTTTTTTTGCAACACTATTCACACCTCTAAGTATCAACACATATTTTATATATGTCACCTGTATAGCCTGTATATTAGGTTTAGCCTCCCCCAGGCGTGCCTTCTGAGCCGCTAATCTGTTCCTTAGTTCGTCTACCGCGGCCTCCTCCAATTCCTCAGGCGTGTGTCGCTGTAACGGTTCAGGACGTTCGATGCCCGGTAGATCAATGCCTGGGTCTTCTAGTTTTAGGGTTGTTAGCTGGAAAAAAGCTTATATTACTAAAGGTAAGTAAACATAGAAACAGCATGAGATACTCTACATTAACGGTTCAATAGGGATAATGACTGGGTAATGAAATCGAAATTCTATTCAGTCCGTCAGACGGATAATAAAAAAAATTTACTCATTTTTTTTTTCATAATCGAATAATTACAGTATTACATTGAGTTGAAATGTCGCGTGACGTCACTTTTGAGTAAAAAATCGACTAGCACTGTTATTATTAAATTATGAAAGAAGATAAAAAATATGAGTTTTCTAATTGGACAAATAATTGAAATTTTGTCATCTAGCCAATCTAGGCAAAATACAAATATCTGTGAGCGATATTCGTGTCTGTTTTATTGGACAACATTAAAAATTATATGTGTAAGTATTTATTAACAAAAATTAAGCACGTTTATATCCGTTATTTGGTAAAAATGGTACAAGCTTCGTTTATGTTTGGCACAGTATAAGAATAGGAGATTTTAAATTAATTTTTTTTTCTAATTTGATTGTTTTTAGAGAACACACGTCCGCCGACGCATTTAGTATCACCTTATGAATTCTGTTACATCATCATCTGAAATATATGACTGAGTTGCATCACCTTAACTTTGACCGTAACTATAACTTTAACAGATTTTGTATGGATTTTGACGTACAACCAGTATATCTGACAAACATATAATTTGATTTAAAAAGAAACAGAAAATGACCACAAAATATACTGGTCATCACAAAAATCGGCCCACCTACGTTTTACAGGAAAACTCGTTTCTACTGACATAATCATGGTGCCCCAACAATATTGGTGTTATTTGAAAGCCCAATAAATATCCTTAAAGAAAAACACATTTAATTTCTTAATAAACGATTAACATAAACGCGATATACAATAAATGTGACTTGAAAAAAAGACCTCACTTTGGGCTCACTTCTGGGATCAATTAGACCAATTTTTATGGTTATAAAACCAAACAATGATCTCACATGTCCTCTTTAACAGATGGATAGCGATTAATCCCAACTTAACAGTTTTATAGCCATAAAAGTTGGCTCAAGCGTAACTACCTATTTTTGAAGAAGTGACTCTGGATTTTTCTACAGACACATTTTTTGGGTAAAAACCTTTCCTTTAATGAAATGAAGTTTAGAACTAGGCTTTTAAATGGTGCCAATATTGGTGGGAAGTGGGGATGCATACGTTTGAAAGTGCTTGTCGCGGGAGGGTCGATTTTTGTGATGACCAGTGTACTTACCTCTTTCTCCCACATAGGCGTCTTGCTCTTACAATCGTCGATCGACTTCTCCATTTTGCTGACAGCGTTGTTAGCCTCAAGACGCTCGCTTTTGATCTTATTTTCTTTGCTCTGTAGCTTCGATATCTCTTGTTTCAGCCCGGAAAACTCGCCTGAGCCTTCGTTTATTTGTTCCTCGAGCTAGAATTTAAAACATAAATAATATAATTTATAAAAATACTTATTTGTGTTTTGTATATGTACACACTGGTAAACCTATCAAATGTTTATGCCTATTTACAAAAAGTATGATAAAGCTATTGCTTTTTTTCACATTTTCTCAATGCTCAATTATTATTGAGCATTGAGAAAATGTGAAAATTAAAATACACCTGAGCTGGTATGTTAGCTTTTATAGTAGAAATGTTAGCATTTATTGAGATGGTCACAGCGATTTATATTTCGGCAGCAAAAAAACACCAACAAATCAATCTTCACTGTGGAATCATTGTTACGTTGTTATAGGTGTCAAAATTGCCTGAAGTGTTGTCGACTGTTAGGCTGAGTTGCACCACCTAATTTTGACCGTAACTATAACGATAACCGGTGCTTTTTGTATGGAGTTTGACAGATTTTTGACGTTTGTCAAAGTTAAAGTAAGATGGTGCAACCCAGCCTTAGTGTAGATCATACTGAAGCGATTGCAATAGATACTGCGTTACAAAACATAACTGAATTTAGAATCTCCTCCTTTTATGAAGTCTGAAAAGTAGAACATTAGAAAACCCGTTTAATATTTACCTCTTCCAATTCTTTCTGGTGCTGTCCACTCTCCAAAGTCAATTGTTTCTTCTGATTGTTCAAGGTCTCTAAATTTTTCTCAGTCTCCTTGAAGTCTGCCTCCATTTGGTTGATTTTGTCTTTGGACTTCTTCGCGTTTCTGTAAAATATAAATCATTTATTAATGCGTCTGTATGATCTCATGATTATAACAGACTATCCTAAAACTTCTCATAATAAAATATAGGTCAAAGTCAATACATTATGGCCTTTAATCCTACTATCCCAACTAATATTATAAATGCGAAAGTAACTCTGTCTGTCTGTCTGTCTGTTACGCTTTCCCGCTTAAACCTCGCAACCGATTTTGATGAAATTTGGCATAGAGATAGTTTGAGTCCCGGGAAAGAACATAGGATAGTTTTTATCCCGGTTTTTGAAACAGGGACGCGCGCGATAAAGTTTTTCTGTGACAGACAAAAATCCACGCGGGCGAAGCCGCGGGCGGAAAGCTAGTAATATTATAAATGCGAAAGTTTATATGGAAGTCTGGATGTGAACATGTTTGTTACTCTTTCACGCAAAAACTACTGAACAGATTTTGATGAAACTTTGCAGTATTATTATTTATAACCCAGAATAACATATAGGCTATAATTTATGACGATCCGTGACTATCTAAATTTCACGCGGGTGAAGTCGCGGGCATACTAGCTTTTGCTTATTTAAATAAATCATTAAACACGGCGTTGTCTTATTTCGTTGTAAAACAGGCTGTTTTGCAATGCTGATAATATGCTATCGTCTGTACATAATATTTAAAAAAACTCCTATGTTAATCTAATGAGGGTTTTCGCGAATGAAAGATCGAAACACTCAACTCGATAATTATAATTTTAATAATATACTCTGTCCTGTGGTTGATCTAAATGCAAAATTTCAACCAACCACATTAAAAGTAAATTAGAGAGGGTTTTTTCTTGCACTGGACACTAAAATGATATAATTAATGGTGGTATTGGAAACAGAACCTTGCTGCCCCATCGGCCGTCAGTTCTGCGTACTATGTGCCCTGCCCATTGCCACTTCAGCTTGCTAATCCGTCGGGCTATGTCAGCGACTTTAGTTCGTTTACGGATCTCCTCATTTCCGATTCGATCTCTTAAAGAAACACCAAAGGTTCTGGAATGGAGGCCGCGTACCGGAAAACGCAGCGTGGGACGTCCACCCACAAGGTGAACCGACGACCTGATAAAGGTAGCAGGAAGGTGCTGGATGCAGGCCGCTACCAACCGTGCGATGTGGAAGTCATTGGGGGAGGCCTATTTTCAGCAGTGGACGTCCTGTCCTGTGTCTGAAATGATGATGATGATGATGATTGGAAACAAACAGTACCTTATGCTAGTGTTAATAGCTACTTTCAGCTTGGTGATTTCCGTAGAAACTTTATCAATCTTCTTGGCCAGGTCGTCAACGTTGCGCTGGAGGTCCTTGACCTTGCCGCCGGCCACAGCTGATATTTGGGCGTCAACTCCGTGCACTTCTTTTTCTACCTACGAGAGAATAAACATAAGTCATTTAATAAATATGTTACATTTGTAACATTATCTTCGCCTAGATATATGTCTTGGTCTGGATTAGCTTCCAGAAAGTATTAGACTAAAAACTAGAAATCTAAGACTTTTTCTGAAAAGTAAATTACATTTATACCGAACTGGTTATGCTTATTTGAACCTATCTTTGATTGCTAAATGAAATAGTGTCAAGAATGTTATTGTGAAACAAACAGTGCTCTATCCGAGACTTAGGAAACCAAAAGTTTTATTTTAAATATGTTCTTAGTAGGCTATCAGCTATCAGAAACTTTATTAACACCGCTGCTATTTTTGTTTAGCTAAGACCTATAGTTGTTTTACCTCTAATAAAATCCCAACCCACACAGGGCAAGGGAAAGTTAAACTGACATTGAACCCGCAACCCGATCTTAATCTTGTTTCTTTAACAAAGTTAAAGATTGACATGTTGTGAAATTCACTAGTTGGCGTCACTTTAGAGTAAGAAAATGTCACTCGCAAGTGGTACCAACTATTAAGTATAAAAAAACCTAATTAAATACTAATGATTAGTTCTATTTCATTTCTTTACCTCTCCAGCGTCGTATTTAGCTTTATTAAGCTTTTCTTCAGCGGCTTGTAGCGCCGCTTCAAGCCTGGCCTTTTGTCGCTCATCCACCTTGCTGGAAGCCGCTTTACTCTCTTGTTGTTTAATTTGATTCTGGAAATCAGAAAACACTATTTAATATACTAGAAGTGTAGGAGTGAAATGGAACGAAAGGAACTGAGTGAAATATAATGAGTGAGTGAGAGGGAGCAAAAGACGTGACAGAGAACGGTTGTAATTTTGTACGGAGAGAACAAATTCCTTTTTCTTGTGGGAAATACAAATAAAGCTAGTAAAATATCAACGGCTTTCTTAAAGAAACGTATGGCAGTTTTAGAGAAATAAAGCTAAGTGACTGTAACTGCTCATTCTTAGCACTGGCCCACTATTTTTATGAAAACTCATAAAAATCAAATCCGATTTTGATAAAAATATTCTTAACATTCATTATTATTTCGGCCGTTTGGTGTAGTGGTTCAGAACGGACTACTATGCCGAGAGGTCCCGGGTTCGATTCCCGGCCGGGCAGAAATTGAAATGATGAATTTTAATTTCTGTGACGGGTCTGGACGGGTCTGGGTGTGACTATGTATAATATTAATGTATTTAAAAAAAATAAAGTATATACAAGTAGTATATCCGTTAAGCTAGCACCCATAACACAAGCATTAAGTTGCTTACTTTGGGGCTAGCTGGCGCTGTGTGAAATTGTTCAGATTTATTTATTTATTCATTTCAGCTACAGGACTTTGAAATCTTTGGGGGAGGCCTTTGTCCAGCAGTGGACGTCCTGTGGCTGGAATGATGATGATGAATGTAAACAACTACATATACCTTCAACACCGGCACTTGTTCAGTCAAGCTCTTCAGCTCGATGTTTAGTTTGTTAAGGGTAGTCTTGCCGTCGCGAGTGCTTCTTTGCAGAGACACGACCGAGTCTTCGAGGTTGCTTTGCTCGCCGCGGAGTTCTGTTAGCCTTTGGGAGATAATAGATGTTTAGTGTATCTTTCGTAGTTTTCTACGCTAATATTATAAAGAGGAAAACTTTGTTTGTTTGGTTGTAATTAATAGGCTCAAAAACCACTGGACCGTTTTTAAAAATTCTTTCACCATTCGAAAGCTACATTATCCACGAGTAACATAGGCTATATTTTATTTTGGAAAAAGTGAAAATATGTAGATAATGTAGTCCAAGCGCGCGAAACCGCGGGCGGAAAGCTAGTGATAAATAAATGTAATTACATATCTTTACACTACGCCATCTAGTCTCAAACTAAATAACGTTTGGGAACTATGGCATATGGGTACCCATGTATTTTAAAACGATTGTTTGCATGTATACCTACATATTGTAATCTCAATGATGTTTATGTCAAAGACTTAAAAGTACTAACTAGAAAAAACAGTAACTAAACTGAGTCCCAACATTGGCTTGCGCCACAGAATAAGTAATAGTACAGGTATAGAAGGATTACTCCGCAAGACGATTTAAATAAATGCGAGTTTTGCTACGACGCGATACAGTGGAATTCAGCTCGCACAGCACTACGTACCTACATTTTTATTCACCTACAAGTTTTATCACTTTCTATCGCGTGCCTCTGAACTCTTCTTACGCTGTTAGGGTTGCTGTCTAGTGAAAAATTAATTAATCTACTTATATGTAATGAGGTACGTATGTAGGTAAGTACGCATTCATTATGGAAAACCTTGGGAGAGGCCTTTGTCCAGCAGTGGACGTCATTTGGCTGTAACGAACGAACGCATTCTGAGCAGTAGTCATGGTAGGTTAGGTTCCTATACTACTATCCTAAGAATTATTGATTACCTACATGGCCAAGATACCTTTCAGCATCTTTGGGAAGCGAAAAAAAATATAAATCCGGTGTAGATTTCTTTTCGAATTTAAACACCCGAACGCCGCACAATATTTATTTCTATTTATGTCCATTTTTAAATAATACTTCGATCATAGAATTAGGTACATACTACAACGCACGCCAGCGTCCTGACGGGCGCGCGCGTGACACTCGACTGATATAATACCCGCCGGCGGGGCGCTTCGCTGTAGGTAATTATCGGATGTACCGCGCGGAGTGAGCCAGGCCTGCTTGCGCTGCGGTTACCTAAAATGACTACAAATCACGTATACAAAAGGCGTACATAAATAATGAAAACGTTCTATGAGTAATTGAGTATTCTATCGTTCTCATAAAACGATATGAGTGTCAATTATTCATTAATTTCGTTGCAGATCCAATGACAGTTTAACTTTCCCCGGGGCAAACTTGGCCTTCACTAGTTGGGTTTTTATTGGCGGTCAAGCTTTAACGACACAGGAGTTGCAGCGGTGGGAACGAGAGGTAGGAATAGCCCCGTTAGATTATTCAGTAATCTTGACCCCACCGGACTTTGAACTTGATACTTTACCTCTGCTCTAAGCTAGCCAGCTGTCTTTCATTCTGCTGCATGACCCTCGGATCCTGTTCACTGGTATCTTGTTGTACTGAACTGGACATGCGCCCACGCATCGTCGTTTTACCACCACCGGACATTGTACCTGATACCAGGCCTGTTCATCTCCGCGAGTTTACATCGAAAACAAAACACGCACGATGGCCCACCTACAGGATACTATTCGACAAGGCCTCACATACGAGCGAACATTGACTCACGCACGCGTATTCTTGTGTATGATGGAAAAAAATAAAGAAAATGGTGTGCTAAATACTGTGCAGTATTTGACTGTCTAAATAATAATAAAAACACAGAATATACTTTTTTAAGTTGCCTCAAGACACTGAGAGGTAAATAAGTAGTTAATATTATTCATGACTAGCTTTCCGCCCGCGGCTTCGCCCGCGTGGAATTTTGTCTGTCACAGAAAAACTTTATCGCGCGCGTCCCTGTTTCAAAAACCGGGATAAAAACTATCCTATGTTCTTTCCCGGGACTCAAACTATCTCTATGCCAAATTTAATCAAAATCGGTTGCGAGGTTTAAGCGGGAAAGCGTAACAGACAGACAGACAGACAGACAGACAGAGTTACTTTCGCATTTATAATATTAGTTGGGATAATTCATGCTAAATCATGTATTTACTCCGCCATTTTCCGCAGTTTGGCACCTCACGTCACATCATTTTACCGAAGTCAGCCCTATAGCTTCGGCGCAGTACCGAACACTGACGTTTGTCAACAAAATGGTGCTTGACTCTTGAGACAGGCTAAATTACACCATATTGTTAATGACATTGAGCATACATTTGTTTAAATACCTTCGCGAAGTAAAACTTCTGTACGTAGTACTTATTATTATTCTGTGCTGATACTTTAAGCATGTGTTTGAAGCTACCCACCTTTGTTTCAAGGAAACCAGCTGCTTTTGTACTGCTGTAAGAGCCCTAAGTCCTGTCGCTGGCGACACAACTGGACATAGAACACAATACTTTTGGCATGAGTTTGAAACAACCCGCCTATGCTATAAGAAAGCCAGCTGTTTCTCAATCTACTGTAAGGGCCTGGGTTTTATTTGCTGGTGTCACCATTGGACATCAAACCTGACTCTTTTGGCATAAGTTTGAAGCAACCCACCTTTCTCTAAGAAAGCCAGCTGTTTCTCATTCTGCAAGATCTACTCGCTTATGTCACCACCGGATATCGTACCTGATACTTTAAGCATGTGCCTAAAGCAACCCACCTCTACTCCAAGGAAGCTAGTTGCCTCTCAAAACCCTCAAATCATTTTCGCTAATGTCACATCAAACCTGATACTTCTGGCGTGTGTATGAAACAACTCAACCCACCTCTGTTCTAAGCTAGCCAGCTGTCTTTCATTCTGCTGCATGACCCTCGGATCCTGTTCGCTGGTATCTTGTTGTACTGAACTGGACATGCGACCACGCATCGTCGTTTTACCACCACCGGACATAGTACCTGGAAATTATAACTCGAAGTAAGAAAAAAAAATTAAGTACCATAAAAAAAGGAGGGAACTTATAAACAAAACAGATTTAAACCTAAACCTTTGAAAAAGAGGCTGGCAATAGTGACTGAGTTTCTTGCGCTGCTTCTTCTCAGCACTGGCCTATTTATTGTCCTGAAGCAGTGGCAGGGTTAATACTGGGACGTGTAAAAGTGCTTTTTAGAGCCTATTTACGAGAGTGGTCTGAAAAGTTTCCGACCTCAACGTGAAGATGGCAGCACACATGAATTAAAGTCAGGGAATGTAATTGTGCATCTTTTGACAGCAACACTTCAAAGTTTCAGCCATTTTTGACGCGCGGTTTTTATTTGAAAGTCGATTGAGTGAGTCGATGTGAGTATTTTTGTGAAAATGGAAAAAATCGAGTATCGAGCTGTCATAAAATATTTGTTTTTGAAAGGGAATACCCCTAAGCAAATCAAAGATGAGTTAGATTCTGTGTACGGGGACTCTTCATCGTCATTTACCACAGTAAAATTTTGAGCAGCCGAATTTAAACGTGGCCGTAAGAGCTTGGGAGATGATGAACGTTCGGGACGCCCAAAAACTGTAACTACTGACGATAACATCGCTAAAGTTCACCAAATGGTGTTAGACGACCGCCGAATTAAAGTGAGAGAGATAGCAGAGGCAATGAAAATGTCTAAAGAACGTGTTTGTCACATACTAAATATGAGATTTAGGCATGAGAAAGCTGTCCGCGCGTTGGGTGCCGCGTTTGCTAACGTCAGACCAACGACGTGTTCGAATGAACATTTCCAATGCTCTGTTGGCGCAGTTTGGGCGCAATAAATCCGAGTTTTGGCGCCGACTAATTACTGTAGATGAGACTATGTAGAAAAATAAAAATAAATTTTAAGAAAAAAAAATCTTGTATCTATGTTAGGTCGGAAACTTTTCAGACCACCCTCGTACAGAAATACATGAGCTTTATGAGTTTTTATTTATTTCGTTCTGTTTTAACCACTGCTGGACATAGGTCTCCAAGGGTTACAACGGCCGATCCTGAACTGCCTGTATCAGACCGTCAGTCCGCCGAGTGGGAGGCTTGCCTACGCTAAGTCTTTCGGTCTTTGATACCTTTTCTGCCACAATAACCATCTGTTCTACGAGCTATATCAATTACAGTATCCGGCATCAAATATTGCACATCGACCTTTGGAAAGAGAATCGGTTAATTTCGGCTCGTAGAGCGTTATCTCTGTCGCACACTACCTATACGATTGACAAAACGTCATTGACAAAACATTATTCAATGAAAATATGTCCGAACCTTTAGTATTTCTCTTCGACAAATACGTTAACACATTGTGAACCACTTTTCTTTCACGACTATAAAAAGTTTTTAGCAATTTAATTTTGATTTTGTAAATTAAATTGCTAAAAAAAAATTACAAAATCAATTGCACACATTTAAAATAAATAAAGTTTGTTAACACTTTGACAAAACGTCATTGTCAGTCGTTGTTCAAGTGCGACAGTGATAACGCTCTACGAAACCGAAATTAGCCGATTGTCTCTTTCTAAAGGTCAATGTGCAATATTTATCGCCGGGTATTGTACCTACGGATCTTCTGGAAATTTTAACTCATTAATTATAAAATTTTGGCCCTGTAAGCCTTGTATAAGCTACCAGTGAACATAGTTAAGTTTCATAGTCCCTCAAGTAATCACTTTGCAGAAAGTTATTACTAAAATGCCTTAAAAATTATCACAAACTTACCGGCTATCTCAATGACGTCACCGTTCAGTGTTACCACCCTGTATCTGGTGTGGCCATACGCGATCCTCGACGCTTGCTCCAAGTCTTTCGCCACGAGCGTGTCTCGGAGCGCGAAGTAAAACGCTGGCAACACTCGGTCGTCTTTCACTTTTACGAGGTCGAAGAGACGAGGTGCGTTTTCTGGACTGAAAAATTACGAGATTACAGAGGGACAAAAAGAGACAGAAAATGGACTGTGTAGGTACATGTTTACAGCTGATTCAGAAACTATAAATAAATAATCACACTTAGCCAGGGATAGCTGTGGGTAGTTAAAAATATTTAAATAACTACCAAAATGTAGATCGGTTCATTCGGGAGCTACACATAATATAGATAGAAACACCAATCTTATGCTAGCCTTCTTTTGATCTTGTCTAAAAGTCAACTATCAGTATAATCGATATAATCGATACTCATACAAACGATTACACTATTCTCTCGATAGTATCGATAATAATTTTATTATCTATTGCGCTATTAATGAGCTATTTAGCTCATTATAATATCGGATGTATCGATTGTAATAACTAGACCCATACTATCGATATTATCCCACTCTCCATAGTGCTCATCCAGTATGAGTGATTTGGGGCCCTTCGATAGATTTTATCGATATTCGATATTTAGGTAAGTTTATCCTCCTTTGCGTGGGTGGTTAAAATACTCACTATGTATTCCTAGCCTCCATACTCCTGATCAGATGCTGCTGCTTGTCCAGCGCTATGAAGGTGGCGCGGCCTATGTCGTGTCGCTTCAAGTGTTCAACACAAGCTTGCGCCGTCTCCACAGTATCGCACACGATATTGTAGAGTCTATACCACCAACCCAAAGACCCGACTTGCCTAAAATCGACTATCGATAGATCAATAGCGCCCTCCTAAACTCACTCATAGTTGACAGCACTATTTTCTCGATAGTGTCGATAGTGACGTAGCTCATTATAGTATCGCCCTTTTTTTCTAAAGATACTACGATTGTAAGAACTAGGCCGATAGTGTCAATACTATCGATAATATTGTATTATTTCACTATCGATATGATGTAACTATCGATATTATGTAACTATCGATGGTATGAGTGATTTGGGACACGCAATAGGCTATCGATACTGTCGATAGACAATCGATTTTTAGGCAAGCTCGCAGCAAAATAACATTAATAAACACTTACTATGTATTCCTAGCCTCCATATTCCTGATCAGATGCTGCTGCTTGTCCAGCGCTATGAAGGTGGCGCGGCCTATGTCGTGTCGCTTCAAGTGTTCAACACAAGCTTGGGCCGTCTCCACAGTATCGCACACGATATTGTAGAGTCTATACCACCAACCCAAAGACCCGACTTGCCTAAAATCGACTATCGATAGATCAATAGCGCCCTCCTAAACTCACTCATAGTCGATAGCACTATTTTCTCGATAATGTCGATAATGACGTAGCTCATTATAGTATCGCCTTTTTAGGGTACCGTATTTTTTAAGATACTATCGATTGTAAGAACTAGACCGATAGTATCGATACTAACGATAGAATTCTGTGTTATTTCACTATCGATATTATTTAACTATCGATAGACGGCCCTTCGATAGTCTATCGTATTGATAAACAATCGATTTTTAGGCAAGCTCGCAGCACAATAGGGTAATCCTTTACGTTAAAAATACTCACTACGTATTCCTAGCCTCCATATTCCTGATCAGATGCTGTTGTTTGTCCAGCGCTATGAAGGTGGCGCGGCCTATGTCGTGTCGCTTCAAGTGTTCGACGCACGCTTGCATGTCTCTACTAAATGACCTGATGATGATTATGTGACTGAATGACCCGATGATGATGATGAAGAAACTCAGTCAAAAGCCTGGACTCCATATTCCTGATCAAAGTGTACTGTTTCTCGCCTCTTGAAGTGACTAAATGGACTCACTCAAGTATGAGTGATTTGGGACACGCAATGGGCTATCGATACTGTCGATAGACAATCGATTTTTAGGCAAGCTCGCAGCAAAATAACGTTAAAAATACTCACTACGTATTTCTAGCCTCCATATTCCTGATCAGATGCTGCTGTTTGTCCAGCGCTATGAAGGTGGCGCGGCCTATGTCGTGTCGCTTCAAGTGTTCAACACAAGCTTGGGCCGTCTCCACAGTATCGCACACGATATTGTCGAGCGCGCCGCAACAGGTCGATATGGCTACGTCGTATTTCGCGTCTATACCTCCTAGGTCGCCCTGGAATGACAATTACATATTAAGATTTCCAAAAAAGTGCGCTGAACAATAGAAAAAAATAGCTACTTATTTATTAGGAGAAAATATCATAAGTATCATTTTCGCTAAAGTCGCTGACAAAGCCCGACGGATTATCAAGATGAAGTGGCAGTGGGCAGGGCACATAGTACGCAGAACTGACGGCCGATGGGGCAGCAAGGTTCTGGAATGGAGGCCGCGTAACGGAAAACGCAGCGTGGGACGTCCACCCACAAGGTGGACCGACGACCTGATAAAGGTAGCAGGAAGGCGCTGGATGCAAGCCGCTACCAACCGTGCGATGTCATTGGGGGAGGCCTATGTTCAGCAGTGGACGTCCTATGGCTGAAATGATTATGATGAAACTTAGGCAGAAATCTGTCGGCACCGACTCCAAAGCTATACAAAAATTGCCGGAATAAACTTGAAAGTGGAAGCTGAAAGTTTTAGGTATCATGTATTTTCGACCATAAAACAAGCTCTTAAAAAAATTATTTTAAAAGGATACTTACCAGTCGTCCGAATATTCCCGGCAGTCTTCCGCTTTTCTTCTCTTTCATTAGAGCGTCCAACACCCTGCCTCGAGATCTATTCGCGCTCATCGCTTGCCTTGACTCTTCTAATTGAGCCCTAAAATATACATTTCCGATGAAAGTAGATGTTTTCAATATAAATATCATAGCAGACTTATCAACTCGGAAAGGGATCAACACGTATCGCCTTTCGCGCGCTATCAAACGCGCGGCGAGGCGTTTTTTGGCATGAGGCGTAGTTTCATACAAAGAACACTGACCGGCTCTAGTTGATACGGTAACGATTAGGGTTGCCAGGTGTCCGGCTTAACCTCGTAAGACCGAAGAGTAAATTTTGTCGACTTCTAAGTATCGCCGAATGTGCTTTCAGAAGAACGAATAATTTGTAGTAGTAAACGCCGAGCACTTCGAGTAAAAAAATTTCTATGTTAGAGATTTTCTTTTGCATTCATCTTTTCAGGGGCTCTATATAATAGTGCATAGAGCTTATTTTAGGTGAAAAATAATAAAAATATGTTTTCTCTTAAAAGAACATTCGGTATTACAGACTTTAAAAAGTAAAAGTAAATAAATTGTATTTTATACTTTAAAGTGAAACGTAAATGTAACCTTCTTAATAAATTAATACTACATAAAGATACAATAATGATATTAATAAATGTAACTGAAAAGGTACAACGGTTTTAATTTTATTTAAAGTTTCATAATTAGTACTTTTAAAAGTACTATCGGTTTTATAACATACACTAATGATAGGGTAAAATGTATAAGAAGTAAAGTGAATATTCATGTTAATTATAATATTTACTAAACTAAAAATCAGAACGTTCTCATGGTAAATTTTCTCAATCATATCATAATTTTAATAGTCCAATACTCAATCCCATCTCAATAGAAAAATGTACAAAAATAAAACTTTCACCATCAAGACCGAATGTTCCTTGCAAAGAACTATTATTTTCAAACGAAAGAAAATCTTACAAAACTACTTCAAATTGGGAAAAATAATTTTTTTGCTTGTTTAGCAGTATTTTAACTTACATTATACTGGTCAGTTTTGCAATTAAACTACGTATACGTGAAGAAAAAAAAATAATCGCACATCACGTCTTCTCGGACGAACCACCTTGTCAAAGAAAAATGACAATTTGACAGTGACGTTTTGTTTTTTTTATATTAATAAGTTCGGATACCTGATTTTGAATACTTTAAGCCATAGACTATCACTCTTTTTTTTCGATAGGCGCGAATTTTTGAACTTAAATTTATCGCTAAAGTTTTAGTTCCTCTGAAGGCACATCCGGCGATACTTCGAAATCACCTCCGAAAATGTCTCGGCGTTACTGACTACAAAGTTTCAGTTCCTTCTGAGGCACATCCGGGCTTACGAGGTTAAGCCGGACATGTTTGGCTTTTTAGGGACTTGTCCGACCAAAAATTGTTGTGTCCGGCATGGTAAAAAAATGCTTTTAAGGCCAAATTAAGCACCGAGTCCGGCTTTTGTGTTTTTGGACCTGGCAACCCTAGGTACGATCCCTGTCCGGGTTAATAAGAAAGTTTCCTACGTCCTTAAATAGTAAAATGATATTCAGTTATTTATTTTACACTGACTTGGGTCACATTGACATTACAGTCGCGGTGAAAGTGATAAATTAATCACATTTAACAGTGATTATTTAATAATTCAACCTTAGTACTAACAAATTTCATAAAAGAGAACAACATCTTGTGTACGTGCTCGTGTACAGCCAAACTTTTGAACGTTTTGATATCATATATTAATATAATTTGGCATAATGAGTTTGGAATGTTTCTTGCATAATATTACTTTTCTATGATGCCTATAACATAATGTTTTGATTTAAAGTGAAAAATAGGTTAAGGTGCGGCGGGGGTGGCCCTTGGGCCACCCCTAAGCCGCCTATTTAGTTTTATACACACATAAATGACCTCATATTAATCACATTTACCAAATCATGCGGTAATTATTCATAATAACCGGCGATTATTCATAATTTTCACATTTATCACTTTGACCGTAACATATACACTCCTACACACAACCACACATAACGAGCATTATCCTATTCTTTTCTTTTTTAATATACTATCATTAAGCGTAAATCTTTCTATGCCAATGAAAGTCTACCATAACTTATTACAATTTACTGCTGTAAATTTTCTTACATACCAAAGTAAATGCTTACTTAGTGAACTAATACTCCTAAAATTAATTAGAGATATCCTAATGGGAAGAAGCGAGTTATTCCCAATACAAGTGTCTCTGACTACTTACCGGGAAGACTCGGTAATAACTCTGTATACAAGTATTTTTGGAAATAGATTATTTTTTTTTTATAAATACATATGTACAGATTTTTCTTATTAAATAACGTGTGTAATTAATAAAATACCTCAATGATCTCGCTTCACCCGACACTGACGATTCTTCTCTCTTCAATGTCTGCAGTTGAGTTTGTAATTCTGTAAGTTTCTTCTCATTCGTTGGCACAGTTGAATTCAGCTCTTGTTAGAACAACATCTTGTGTACGTGCTCGTGTACAGCCAAACTTTTGAACGTTTTGATATCATATATTAATATAATTTGGCATAATGAGTTTGGAATGTTTCTTGCATAATATTACTTTTCTATGATGCCTATAACATAATGTTTTGATTTAAAGTGAAAAATAGGTTAAGGTGCGGCGGGGGGGGGCCCTTGGGCCACCCCTAAGCCGCCTATTTAGTTTTATACACACATAAATGACCTCATATTAATCACATTTACCAAATCATGCGGTAATTATTCATAATAACCGGCGATTATTCATAATTTTCACATTTATCACTTTGACCGTAACATATACACTCCTACACACAACCACACATAACGAGCATTATCCTATTCTTTTCTTTTTTAATATACTATCATTAAGCGTAAATCTTTCTATGCCAATGAAAGTCTACCATAACTTATTACAATTTACTGCTGTAAATTTTCTTACATACCAAAGTAAATGCTTACTTAGTGAACTAATACTCCTAAAATTAATTAGAGATATCCTAATGGGAAGAAGCGAGTTATTCCCAATACAAGTGTCTCTGACTACTTACCGGGAAGACTCGGTAATAACTCTGTATACAAGTATTTTTGGAAATAGATTATTTTTTTTTTATAAATACATATGTACAGATTTTTCTTATTAAATAACGTGTGTAATTAATAAAATACCTCAATGATCTCGCTTCACCCGACACTGACGATTCTTCTCTCTTCAATGTCTGCAGTTGAGTTTGTAATTCTGTAAGTTTCTTCTCATTCGTTGGCACAGTTGAATTCAGCTCTTGTTGTAACCTGGGAAAAGTTTAAAATTGATTATTACATTAGTTATTTGACACATATTGTAGGTGAATTAACTATTGTTTGCTACTAGTTCGTATAGTAAAACTTAGAGAACATAAAAAAATAGTGTGTGCAGAAAAGGAGCCTATTATTATGATCATCAATTATTCAGCTAAAGGACTGTCGTTTAGTACCAGTATTTACCAAGAAGTCTAGTACCCATAGTACCAACTTTGCTAAGTTTGAGACTGGATGGTGCTGTGTAATGTCCAAGGACAATTTTATCATCATCATCATTTCAGCCACAGGACGTCCACTACTGAACATAGGCCTCCCCCAATGACTTCCACATCGCACGGTTGGTAGCGGCCTGCATTCAGCGCCTTCCTGCTAAGGATATTTCATATATGCTGCCCAAATGCGCTAAGTTTTGAATGAGATATCTAAATAGGAACACAAAATACTTTCATTTATTTATATCAATCAAGCTATAATACTCTACAACAGGGGTGGCCAACTTGATTAGACATAAGATCTACTCTTTACTAACAAAACCCAGGGGTCTACCACTTACACACTTCTTGAAATCTTAAATGAAACAGCATAGTTTAGTACACAATCATGTAGTATTTTTTGCCTTGCCACGATCGACTGGACTAATAGTCGCGATCGACCGGTTGGCCACCCCTGCTCTACAATATCAAACTTACGCCTTTTTCTCATCCAAATCTTTAGCGGCCTTCTCATAAGCTTCTCTCATATTCTCCAACTTTTCTGCCTCCTTCTGTTCTGTGCTCAAGTATATTTTGAGCTCAGACTCCGCTAGTTTGTATTCCTTGTTCGCTTCGTCCACTATCTTTTTGAGGTCCATAAGCTTTGCTTGCAGTTTGTCCTTGGTTTCTTGCAAGCCTTGGGTTTTTGATCTGGAAAAAATATTGTTATGTTTAGGTATGTCTTACAAAAATAGCTTAAATATAATATAGGTTTTGGAACTAAAATGCTGCAATATACTGGATAAAGCAAACAAGTAATTAAACGCGAATATGTACTTGCATTACTGTCGATTCTTTATTATAAAAAAAAAACTAATTAAATATCATCCATAGGCCATACAAAACTTTAGCAATAAATTGCCACTTTATAGGTATTTTGCGAACGTCGACGTATAAGGAATTTTGTAAAAAAAAATAAGAATTTTCTTAAGCTTTTTGTGAAATAAAACGTGATATAACTCTAACAAATTAAGTACCAATATTATCCATTCAACAGCAAGCATTTTAGTTAGGCAGTTGACAGACGAACCGATAAATATGGAATTATAAAATATAACAAGTGATATTCCATATTATTTTACAACAAAACTCTAATGTAAACCATACCTTACTCCAGCCATAACGGTCTGCAATTCCTCCTGAGCCTTTTCCTTGTTTTCCTGATGTTTGACCAGTAGCTTTTCACAGTCTTCGATTTCCCTTTTATTTTTCTCTGGAATCTGACGAAATAAAATAAGTTTTATTATAGTTTAACTCAGTGACTTCTTAATACGTCATTGTAGGAAATAAGAGTAGGCGAACACCGTTGATTTTTAGTTGGCCGATAGTTGAGCCCGATTTTAAATTGTATGAAGAATCGGCCAAATCGAATCGGCGTAGTGTGCGCACTCCCATACATGCCCATACCAGGCCTGGCTCACTCCGCGCGGTACATCCGATAATTACCTACAGCGAAGCGCCCCGCCGGCGGGTATTATATCAGTCGAGTGTCACGCGCGCGCCCGTCAGGACGCTGGCGTGCGTTGTAGTATGATTATAATTCTATGATCGAAGTATTATTTAAAAATGGACATAGAGAGAAAGAAATATTGTGCGGCGTTCGGGTGTTTAAATTCGAAAAGTAATCTACCGGATTTATCTTTTTTTTTTCGCTTCCCAAAGATGCTGAAAGGTATGTTGGCCATGTAGGTAATCAATAATTCTTAGGATAGTATAGGAACCTAACCTACTATGAAGGTTTTCCATAATGAATGCATACTTACCTACATACGTACGTTATTACAAATAAGTAGATTAATTATTTTTTCACTAGACAGCAACCCTAACAGCGTAAGAAGCGTTCAGAGGCACGCGATAGAAAGAGACAAAACTTGTAGGTGAATAAAATTGTAGGTACGTAGTGCTGTGCGAGCTGAATTCCACTGTATCGCGTCGTAGCAAGACTCGCATTTATTTAAATCGTCTTGCGGAGTAATCCTTCTGTACCTGTACTATTACTTATTCTGTGCCCATACTGATCAACTGCCCGACTAAACTATCGGCCGATGAAAAATCAACGGTGTGCGCCTACTCTAAATGAATGAAATGTAAGACACCTAGAACCATATACAACCCGATCGAGTTAACTGCGCAATTAGTAGCCGTGACGTCACATCGACGCTCTGGTACGGACGGGGCCAACGCAGTGAGGTGTGCAGGTTAGTGCGAGGGAGAGTCGCATTCCAGCTCGTTGCGCAGTCAGCTCAATTGGGTTGTAGTCTGATACCAGAATTTATTAATTGGAGTGGAGGCCGCGTACCAGAAAACGCAGCGTGAGACGTCCACCCACAAGGTGGACCGACGACACCTGGTTGGGCCTATGTCCAAATTTCTTATCTTCCTTTTCTTCGGTGGCTCCAAAATTGACTCTCAAAATTATCTAGCTGCATGAGCTGGTTTCTCACCAATCTGTTTATCGGATTCGGGGCCAGCACCTTCGCAGGAGCCAAGTGGCCAGTGTCAAGTGTCACGCGAAAAACCTCTGATAGAAAATTAAGAAGAAGAAACTCGTTGTCTTGGAACGTCAGTCAAATGTAAAAAGTCCGCTGAATATATTGAAATAATAAAACCGCAAGTAAACCGCAAGAAATATTGACGGGTCGACCCTCGAAGCCTGGTCTCCGTCTCCTGATCCGCAGGTTGGTGGTTTCCGTTTTATGCAGCTGTATTTTTGAGTTGTTTGGAGTCACCAGCCGACCCCCGCATCATCTTTCTTCTCCGCATTTTATTCCTGGTGTGGCTATTTACAGGCCACATCAACACCATAAAAGTAGCAGGAAGGCGCTGGACGCAGGCCGCTACCAACCGGGCAACATGGAAAGCATTGGGGGAGGCCTATGTTCAGCAGTGGACGTCCTTTGGCTGAGATGATGATGATGATGACCAGAATTAAAACCAATAGAAAAAGCAACTTACCAATTCCAAATCGATCAGTTTTCCTTTTTCTTGTTCTAGAAGTTGGTCTAAGTTCTTCTTCTTCTTATTAGACTGTGTGATGTCTGCTTGCACGGTTACTGTCTTCTTTTTGCATCCTTGCAATTTTTCGGCGATTTCTTCTTTTTTCTTCTGGAGTTTGTCGTACTTCCTAGAAAAAATAAATAAAAAACGATATAATGTGTGTTTCTGGAAATTAAATAGGACCACCTAACTTTCCCGTGGATGTCTTAAAATAACTTTTAAAAAAAATAAAACCGACTTCAAATGCGTGAACACAAAAAAAAACTAAAAATTGAAAATATTGGGTATAAAAAAGTTCATCCCCAATTTTCCACCCTTGGGGGTGAAATATTTTCTTCAAATTCGCATGAAACCACCCTTTTGATAATACCTATTCAACAAAAAAATAATCGTTCAAATTGATTTATAATCGGCGGAGATATTGCATATAAAAAAGTTCATCCCCAATTTTCCACCCTTGGGGGTTGGTTTTTCTTAAATTTAAATGGGACCACCCTTGAGGTATTACCTATACGCAGAAAAAAGATTTGTTAAAATCGGTTCATAATTGGCGGAGTTATCGCGTAACAAACATAGAAAAAAAAAACATACGGGTCGAATTGAGAACCTCCTCCTTTTTTGAAGTCGGTTGAAAATAAGGATCTACAGCTTGACCGTTAATAAAAACCCAACCCGTGAAGATCAAGTTTGACTTGGGGGAAAGTTAAAATGTCATTGCCCGCAACAAAATTAATCAGACGAACATAGGAGTTCGAAGTTAAGGTTCGACTTCTCTCCAGTGCGAAGAGAATGGGACAGGGGACGTAACAAAGGTTAGGATGTCGTAAAAGGCGACTAAGGGAGAAATATGAGGAGGAGAAAAACATAGGAGTTTCGAACTCCTCCTAGTATGTTCTTCTGATTAATTTCATTGCGGGTCAAATGACAGTTTAACTTTCCCCCAGGACAAACTTGACCTTCATTGGTTGGGTTTTTGAGGCGGTCAAGCTGTAAATCCTGGCTACACAGGAGTTGCAGTGGTGGGAACGAGAGGTGGGAATAGTCCCGTTTTTGAGGGAGAAATACAGGGTGGAAACGATAAGTGATCTCACTCGATTATTTCTAAACTATACAAGATATCAATAAACTAGTTACTGATCCTGAAAGTGCTTAATGAGCTCTATCAAACGGTATTAATAATAGGTTACAGAATAAACTGGATCTATCCGAAAATTCAATGTTTCCAGCTTCCATACATTTGGTAAAGTCACATTATTTTAAAAACTACACATGATATCGTAAAACTGATTACTGATTCTAAAAGTGCTTCACAAGCTCTATCTAATGGTATCAATAATAGGTTACAGAATAAACGGGATCTATCCAAAAATTCAATGTTTCCTTCTTCCATACATTTAGTACTACCACAGTCATGACACTCATCTCTTGACAATATTATAGCGAGTAAAACCTAAAACCAATGTTTTCTATGAATAATTTGAAATAAGAATACAATTTACGAGTTTATTTTAAGAGTTTATTATTAAATTACAAAATTACACTTCTAATGTTGTGTCTGGCATACATTTAGTATGGAAGCTGGAAACATTGAATTTTCAGTTAGATGCAGTTTATTCTGTAACCTATTATTGGTACCGTTTGAAAGAGCTCATGAAGCACTTTCAGGATCAGTAACCAGTTTTTTAATATATTGTATAGTTTAGAAATAATCGAGTGAGATCACTTAACGTTTCCACCCTGTATACGAACATCAGGCCTCCCCAACCCGTTTCGTCAGTGTGGGGAGTGTAGGCCAAATCCTCCATATGCCTCTGGTTAATTAGAAAGGGCCGTGCTCTTGCAGTAGAGACTAAATTACTTGATAATGAAAACTCATAAAAACTCATAAAACTCATTTAATTTTAGCAATTTTTTTTTGTCCACAACGAGGAAGCTCTTGGCCTATGTATCTCACCAGATGGTAAGTGACGATCAGGCCGAAGGTGGAAGCGAGCTTCACCCGGAATCCTCAACCACGGAGGAATTGGCTATCTTACCTCTAACTGCCGAAACACAACAATGCTGTTAACATTAGGCTTTTAAAAAGCACTTTTACACGTCCCCTTATTAACCCTACCACCGCTTCTGGACAATAAATGGGTCAGTGCTAAGAAGAAGGATGATGATGAGATGATACTTACTGGCTCCCAGTTTTCAGAACTGCTGTCTTTTCTTGTAGTTCTTCCTTGATTATGTTTAGTTTTTCATCTATTTTGGCGAGGTTTTCTTTTAGTTCTTCCATCTCTTTCTCTTTACCTTCAATTATTTTGTTGGTTTCATGTCTGAAATTATGCGCAAAGAGGTTAATACTACCATAAGAAAATAATTTTACGCTATGCTTCAGACGGCCCCACAAAATGTAGTGCGTTCAGCGTTTCTGGCAGATGAAAAAAAGAATTTGATAAGTGTCACGATTACACGACGGCTTCAGCTTGATACACATGTCCTACACTGAACCATCCCAGCTACGACATCATCAAGAGGGCGCTACTATCAATACTGAATTATTAGTTCCGAATATTGCCACGTTCGACAGCCATATAATAGGCTAGATGACAAAATTTCAATTATTTGTCCGTCAGACAGATAATTAGAAAATATTAGACTCATATTTTTTATTTTCTTACATAATAAAATAATAACAGTGCTACATCGAGCTGAAATGGCGCGATACGTCACGCTTGAGTAGAATTTTTACTCAAAAGTGACGTCACGCGACGTTTCAACTCAATATAATACTATAATTATTATTATTCTATTATGGAAAAAAATAAAAAATATGAGTCTAATACATATTTTCTAATTATCTGTCTGACGGACTAAATAGAATTTCGATTTCATTACCCAGTCATCATCCCTATTATGACATTTACAGGAGGGCGCCACAATCAATACTGGGTTGTTATGTTAGTTTTTGATTTTTGCCACTTGACGTTTTAAAATAGTCATTCCGCTTTCTAACGCTCTTGTTTCAACAACTTTGTCCACTTATCTTCATCTGACATACTTACTGAATGAGCATGGTACAGGAAAACATATGCTAACATCTACCAGTCTTCAATCGTTTATGAGCTCACCAGTTAGCAACTGTAGTTTACAACGCCGTATTGATGAGATCACTTGTTCGTCACTTTCTCTCTCTTTTGCTCTATAGTAATAAAAATATTCTTACATGTATTTCTGCAGCAGCATATTCCGAGTCCTCAACGCAGTATTAGTAAGCGTCATTTGTTCTACCGCTTCTCTCATGGGTTGTTCCAACTTCTGTTTCTCTTGCTCGACAAGACGGACTCTGTTTAACTTCTCTTTGCGCATTTCTGTGTACTCCTCCACTTTTACAGATAGTTTTTCTATGGGTTCCTGCAATTTAAAATTAAGTTAACTAAGGAAGGAAAAGAAAGTCGACATAGTTCCTGACTAAATTCATCATCATCATTTCACACACAGGACGTCCACTGCTGAACATAGGCCTCCCCTAATGACTTCCACATCGCACGGTTGGTTGGTGTCTCTGACTAAATTCGCTTATTAAATATTATTATCACTGAAAACTAATTAAGGTAGGTACCTTAATGGATAGGATCTTTGCGGATGAGGGGGGATAAAGGTATAGGGAAGCACAAAAGATCCCAATGGGTGGACGTGCACTGCGCCCATGCGCGGCCCTAAATAAGATAAGATAAGGTAGGTACCTTATATCTTGACGTTCCTATAATATCTTCCAAGTACTCCAGCATACCAGATTCGTGTTCAGTCACCGCTTTCGGCTTCATCATAGCAATTTGTTCCACTTCACCCTGGAAACGACATATTAAATACAAATGGTCTTACAATACTACCTTGCTGTACTCCTATCAATGTACTACATTCTACGAATTGAAATGTTTCGTTCCAATTTTTGCTAAATAATGTAGGTAGTAATTGTCATTTTACCATCATTAAAAATTGTCTGGAACTGAATTCGTAATTCATCATCTTCGTTCATGAGAATTACTTTGTCAAATGCCTTGGGTGAGCCAAAAGTTTAAGTAATGTTTATGTAGGTATACCAGAATGTATACCCGGAGCATTTCATATTTATCGCTATAGTACAGAAGAAGGCATGTCAAGGAATCTTATGGTGTTGTAATAGTTGTTTTGTCACAAAAATGTATATTTTGATGTTGGATACATACACGAGTTATAAGATGCGATTTGGACTTTACTATTAAAGTGGTGATACATACCTGAAGAATGAGAAACCTGTTGTGGTCTAAATCGATTCCATGGGATCTGAGCATTTTGGCCACTTCTTTGAACTGCACTCTTCTTCCATTCAGAGTGTAGTATGAAGAGTTGTCTTTGGACGCTGATCTTGATACCACAATCTCGCTGTTAGGGACCACTGTGAATTCTTCTCCTTCCTAGAAGAAAAATATAGAAATAGAAACAAACAAATACGATGTATTTTAATAAGCTGAGATTCTTGCGGTGTTTTATTCTCATCACCAACTAACTCATAATGTTCTGTAAGTGCCAAGAAATATTCGGGACGTGTAAGTATGAGACAAGCACGTAGGACGTCCACTCACAAGGTGGACCGACGACCTCATAAAGGAAGGCTGTAGATGCAGACCGCTACCAATCGGGCGATATGGAAATCATTGGGGGAAATCTATGTTCAGCAGCGGACGACAGACGTCCTGTAGCTGAAATGATGATGACGATGACATCAGGTGATTGTATTCTCTGTGGAATACGGGTGACTTTTACGTTGCAAGTGTTTTACTTGAGGGTTAGGTATATCATGAGACCAATAAAAACATCCAATAAACAAGAAATTGTAGTTGTAATATAATCACTTCATGCTGCTTTAACAACTATATTTCATCTTTCAACATAAGGTTTAGTTATTTAACATGGTTAAATATTTTAATTGTAGTTGAATAAGCTAAGTTTTGTAAGTAAGAAAATTAAAACTTTACTGCAAGGAACTTCACCAACAATAAAACAACGTATTCTTTCCGTGTACTCCCACACATTTTGAAAATGAATAAAAAATATTTATTGTCCTTTAACATAAAAATAAAAGTATGAAATAACTTATGTATAAAGTAGAGTAGGTACATGGTAGAAGTATTTTGTAATGTAAATTAGTTTGTGTATTTGCCACTAAGTACTCGTCCAAAAGGTTTTCTAAATGGCTGTATCTCATGTTGATAGCCCAATAAAAAATAAATGGCATAGTGCGAAAATTTTCGCACTTGGCGATCGCACTACCACAGGTCTTCATTTTATAAATACTTAATTTAATTCTTTTCCTTATCATGATATCATAATCAATCCGTGCCACTTCGTTGAAAATGTGTTTAAATACATCACAAGTTCGAGAAAACCTATAGAAAATTTTACATCGAGTCCAATCCAAAATGAAGAATTTACTTATATTTATTTGTGAGTATATTTTTGAATAATGGGGCTTCTTTTTCTTGTCCTTGCGTGTTGAGGGAAACCATTAGGGGTGTGTTCACGCCTCGAAGCCACGCCCACCTGTTCCAGGGTTGCCAGCGTTAAATGTTTAAAAAAATTCAAATGACTTCATAATGTTTCAGTGTCCATCACAGCTCTGGCAGCCGCCGCCAAGAATTCATGCATCTGCCCACTTATACTTAGCCGGGTTTGCGCGTCTAACTTTAAAACGTACGCTAACGAGTGTGAAATGATATGCGAAAATAGATTTTTGCAAGTTCTGTATAAGGGCAAATGCGGCGAGCCCGTTGAACTGCCTCCCACACCGGTATACCCCATCCCGCCTCCCATTCCTAATGTGGTACCGGTATACCCCTTCCCAGACCCCGCGCCTAATGTACCGGTATACCCCACACCGAATGTGGTACCGGTATTCCCCACCCCTGATATTATACCGTATACCGGCGGAAACTCACCCACTCTCCGTTATTTAACAGCATGAATTTACACATCAGTATTCCCTGTAGTTACCCCCTTACTAATAAAAAGTTACACGCTTATTGAACACTGTTTTAAAGTGACGTCACTTTTAAACACTGTTCAACGAACGTGTAATTTTTATTAAGGGGGGCAGGGGGGTATGAGTCTCAGCCCTTTTATAACAAGGGCGCCTATTGTAAAATGTTATTCGAGTCAGAAAACTGTTATTAAATAAATAACAATCCATGTATTTGACATGTATTTATTTATATTTACTAGTATGTAAGGCCCTTTTTAGAGCACACACAATTTTACTTTTGTTTATCTTTGTAGTCTATAATTTGTGTTAAATTTTATTTTCAGTTAAAATGTAATTTTGCTACATAATAAACCGTCTTGATGATGTTTTTCGTGTACCTATTTCTGGATTTCTATTATTTATGTAATGATTTGTAATAAATGCTTTTGAATAAACATACTTATTTTGCATTGGATTTTTTTGACTTATTTTAATTAACCTACCTTACTTTCCATTAAATATAAAGCTAGTTTTTAAATATTTTTACTATTGTTATATTGGTAGGAATTGAAAAAGTGAAATAAACAAGAAATTGTAATAGTATTCCTTCATGCTACTGTAATAACTATATTTCATCTGTCAACATGACGTTAAGTTATTTAACGTGGTTGAGTATATCGATTGTAGTTAACAGGCCAAGTTTTCTTATAATGATGAAGAACCGCCTCTGTGGTCTAGTGGTAAGACCACCTGCTTCAGACGCAGAGGTCCCGGGTTTGATTCCCAGTGGGGGCAGATTTTTTCGTTCGGTTTGGTTGGTGGTAGGGCTTCTTCTAAGTCCGCCTGGCTAGCTACCACCATCTTATCTAAGTCTGTCGCCATAACAACAATGTTAACAGCACTGTTGTGTTCCGGCAGTTAGAGATAAGATAGCCAGTTCCTCCATGGTTGAGGATTCCGGGTGAAGCTCGCTTCCACCTTCGGCCTGATCGTTACTTACTATCAGGTGAGATACAGGCCAAGAGCTTCCTCGTTGTGGATAAAAAAAAATTCAACCTTACAGCATAGAACTTTACAAACATTGGAATAAAAATGTTATTTTGAAACTGAATTAAAATTATTATAGTGTAATTAATAACAGTAAGCGCAATAAAAGTGAGGCACTTCAAACTAGATCCATTCAATTTCAATTTAATTCAACCATTGGCTTAGTTTTTTATAGTAACCCGGCATTGATGTCAGCGCCCTAACTGCAAAATGACATTTCAGCGTTTTCCAACGTGGCAAAAATCGGAACCAGCGATCCGGTATTGACGGTGGCGCCCCCCAGTCAATGTCACGGGTGGAACGGTATAGGTCTACCAGAATCTCATGGCAAACAAAAATGTTGGAAAAGTGTGTTTTTCATATGGCAATTGTCTATGGTTTAATTGTCACCTGTCTAAGAAAATAATAAAATCTGTCAGCCGCTGCAAAAATTTTGTAATCTCTTCTTGACTATTTGTTATTTTTATAAAAAAGTCGAAAAAGCTCAAGCAAGTCATATTGTTTTCAATGAGAATTGTAAAATAAGGCATAATTTAAAGTCAATCTTTGATTCTAAAGCGCGTCGTCGAGTTGACAGTAAGTTGGACTGAAATGTTTTGATACATTTAGTTTATTACCCAACTGCGTCAGAAGGAGGGTTATGTTTTTTTATATTATTCTTATTTTAATAGCTGCTTTATCGATGTTTTCAGGTATATCTCACAAATTGGTGCAGTGAAATGGTCAAAATGTCAAAAATTGAAAAAGATTTCATCAAGCAAGATTGAATAATGGAGAAGTTTCCAATTTTTTCTTTTAAATAAACTTGAAATAAATATAAGTAAAACTAATAAGAATTGTGAAAGAATCATGAAAATATCTCTTCAAATAAATAAGTTACAGGGCCCTAAAGTTGCGCATAACTATTCACGCCATTTTGATCGGTGTATTCACGACAGTCATTCGGAGTACAAACAGTAAATCACCCCTGATCCAGTGCTGTTGACAGATCCACAATTTTTTAAATCTAGCAGTTTTTAATTTTTCAGTTAGGGTCACTCAAGACTCTTTCTTAGTAAAATTTTGTAACCTTTTTTTTTTTAATATCCCAGACCTGGCCATTTATACAAAAAGAACGGCACTGCCTGTTTCAATTCCACGCGAAAATATGTAGGTAATTTAAATAGAGCAATTAATTTACAATACCTCTTTATCTTTATCATCTATTGAAGAACAAGAAATGCGAGTGGAGTTCTTAGAATCGTTTTCTAGTTCTGAATGAAGTGATAAGTTAAAAATATGATGCATAATAAAATTAGTTACTTAAAGTAATAATACGATTTATAATAAATTTCAATACATTTTCCTATGTTAAAAACCCGATGTACCTATAACAACATTCTTCATTCATACACATACCTACCTAAAATGTACCTATATTCGTACTTCATGTTCATTAATATTAAAGTCATAAAAGTAAAAAATTAAACAGTATCAAGATCGTTTATTCGAATTTCCCCAGTATTGCTCTCAACAAAGTTTATTTTCCCTATTTGCCATGAGATTCTGGTACACCTATACAGTGTAGTTCATCTATACAGATCTTTTTTGTGTTGATCGCCTCAACTTATCCTGTGCGACCCTATAGTTCTTCTACTTGTCCAATAGTTTTTTTTTCTAATGGCATACTTAGTAACTATTAACATAGTATTATGCCGGAATACGGAATAACTTCCGTCCGAGAAAGTTTTAACTTGGCGATAGCACTACCACCATTCTTATTTTTAGAAATAATTTAATATTTCTCCTTATCATGATACCCATATTAATCGATCCGTGCCGCTCCATTAAAAAATGTGTTTAAATACATCACACGTTCGTAAAAACCAATAGAAACATTAAAATTTACGCCAAGTAAAATTCAAAATGAAGAAATTACTTATATTTATTTGTGAGTATATTTTTAGTGGTAGTCCTTTCCTGCCACCAGTACCAGTGCTATTTTGGCCCGACCCAATTTTCTTATTGTCTATAAAAAAAACCATAACATAATGTGGATTTGACAAATCCATACAAAGTATTAAAAGTGTTTTTATGGAATTTTAAGGATCCTTTCTTAACTAGGGCCCGTAACACTTAACGTTCAACAAACGTTAAATATTTAGAAAAATCTGCCTAACTCGCATGCCACTTTATGTTTAAAACAAGTTGCCCCGAAAAGTTGGTAGATCCAGCTATTTATACTACAACTTAAATTATGAATTTTACTTTTTCAGTGACCATCACGGCCATGGCAGCCGGCGAACGAGACGAGTTTTGCGGATGCATAAAATTGTACGCGCCGGTCTGTGCGACCAACTACAAAACATATCCAAACAAGTGTGAAATGAATTGCGATGATAGATCTTTGCGAGTTATTTATAATGGCGAATGCGGCAAGCCCGATCCAGTGGAAGCACCAACTGTGACATCGCTTGACAAAATTTCCCCGCCACCTCCAGCGCCTATTGTCACACCAATTTACCCTCCTTCCCCGTACCCAGCGCCAATTGTCACACCGGTTTACCCTCCTTCCCCGTACCCCGCGCCAATTGTCACACCAGTTTACCCCCCTTCCCCGTATCCAAAACCTGACGTCACACCGGTGTACCCGCCTTCCCCTTACCCAGCGCCTATTGTCACACCAGTTTACCCTCCTTCCCCGTATCCATCGCCTGCACCGGTTTACGGATAAGTTAACTGATGGGCTAATTCAAACGCTTGCTTTTTACCCAGGAAACATTTCTAAAATGCTTATCGTCTAAAATCGATAAAATCGTCGATAAGATTATATCGCAGCTTGCACCTGGCCCTGCAGGTCATTTAGTTTAGAATAAATCATCAATTTAATAGACTGGCCAGACGTGTTGGAGAGCCCTGATGTTCGCATCTATCAGAAAACTATAAATCATCATTAAATAGCAATTTATTCATTTTTTTTATTACTATGAAGGCCATTTTTAGACAATTTTTCACATTTTCGTTGGTTACATTATTTTTCTTTATTCAGCAAACCACAGCCAATAAAATGGATTATTATTTTAGATTTTAATTTCAGCTAAAATAACATTTTACTGACTCAAAACTGAACTGAAATTCAAGAAGCCTTTACCTTATTCGGTATAATTATTTATATTATTTACCTTAACTATGTATATTATTTGAAATAAATTAATTTATAATAAATATAATATATTTATTTGATTCATATTGATTTGACCTCATTTAATTTTAACATTGAAAGAAAGGATTTACAGTATTAATTGTGTTATGTAGTTGGAAAAAAAAGGTATTTTTTATAGATTTAAAAATAACGTCATACCAAGGCGTGAAATTAGTTACTAAAAGGTACATGATGATTTCCATTAAATATTGAAGTTTAAATCAAAGTTACTAGCAGTTTAGTCAACTTTAATAGCACGCATTTTGAAATCAATTAGTTTCACTAACAAATTAGCTTATTATGCATCAATATAAATATGACAGCTTGTTCATATGGTTATTACACAGTCATAAACAGTGCCTACAATGAAGTGTGTATTCCTGCTGCTAGGTAAGTTACTGTAATGTTGCCAGTTTTTTTAAACAAGTGGTCCTATTTCCTGTTCTTTTTTTCCTTACCCTGAACAAAAAAGGGATTCTCTGTCGATGATTTTATGCATGGAAAAAAGTGATATATATTTTAGCCAAGTTATCCATAAATACTTACTCCTCCCCTACCCATCTCATCTGGCCAAGGTGGGGAGGAATTGGTATTTACTCGCTTAGGATCTCCCTTACCACCGCGACCAGAAAGACATAGTGTGGACAGGCCTTCTACTAGGTGGATCGACAGTTTGGCAAAGGTACCTGGATGCTAGCAGCGCTGACTGATCGTTGTAGAAATCTATGGGGAGGCTTTTGTCCAGCCCACTGCTGCACAAAGACCTTATTTGGCTAAAACGAACAAACGATCGCTCTTATGGGGGAGGATCGCATGTAGGCGAAATCCTTCTCAATCACCAACATTTCAGCCATAGGACGTCCACTGCTGAACATAGGCCTACCCCAATGATTCCCACAAAGGCCGATTGGTACCAGCCTGCATCCAGCGCCTTCCTGCTACCTTTATGAGGTCTTCGCTCCACCTTGTGGATGAAAGTCCTACGCTGCACTTTCCAGTACGTAGCCTCCACTCCAGACACACAAATCCTTTGTCTCTAGTGAATTGGAGTAATTTGTCTTCCTGCAGTGGAGATTAATGAGCGGATGATGACGCAAATAAGTACGTGGCATTTGCCACAACACCTTCCTACTATCCGTTCGCGATAAGTTTGCCGCTGACGATATGATATGACGTCACTCGAAGAAAAGCGTCTAGGTATATAGTTTATATTTAAAATATTATTTATTTATTATTATTGATAAAAATTGTGTTTTCGCGTAAAATAAGACACATTAATTGCGTTTAATCACGGTTGGGGGAGGGGACGCGCATTCCACGGACCGGCAAACTTAGCGCGAACGGGTAGTATTTTACAAGGCCCAAATAACGAGTCAATCCTCATTTCAGTGTCCGTTACAATTGCCCTGGCACAGCTCAGGCCAATACCACCCTTGCCAGACGTCAGGCAATTACCACCCCAGCCACAGGTCAGGCCAATACTACCCGTGCTACCTGCCAGGCAATTACCACCCAACCCTAAGAAGGGTGGTTTATGTGGCTGCTACCCCATCGACAATACTCTATGCGCGAGCAACTACAAGACCTACTTGAACGAGTGTTCTATGCGATGTGACCACGACTACGATGGTTTATACGTGCTGTATTACGGACCATGCGTGCCTAAAGGACGTACACAAGACACTGTCTACTACCCGCGCCCGGGAGGCTTCAAGGAATCTTATGGTTATAGTACAGGAAAATAAGTCTACCCTGGACCACATAGAAATCCAGCTTGTTTATGAATTTCATTCTTCGATATTTCTTCGCTGATATTGTCATTCATACTTGAAAACTTTGCGTCATTAAATGGAAACATTTTGAAATTAATATTAATTTGGTTTGATTTTCTTCTATAGTCTACCCTACAAATATTTATAAATGTGAAAGTTTGTGAGGATGTTTGTTCTGTCCCTCTTTCATACAAAAACTAGTGAATGGATTTTGATAGGTGTAATCTTATACCAAATTAAATCTAAATATATAAAAGGAGAAACTGACTGACTGACTGACGGACATATCAACGCACAGCCTAAACGGCTAAACGTAGGCACTTGAAATTTGGAAGGGACGTAGCTTAGGTACCGTAGAGGTGCACAAAGAAAGGAATTCCCGAAATTCCCACGGGAACGGGTAGGAGCGGGAAAATCCTTTTGTATGAAAAAATCTAAACCGCGTAAGATAGATGAAGGGGGTAAAACGGGATCCACGCGTACGAAGTCGCGGGCGGCCGCTAGTCACTGATATTCTTGTTACCCTTTACCCTTTGGTTAAACTTTCCCGGGGACAAACTTGGCCTTCACTGGTTTTGTTTTTATTGGAAGTAAAGCTGTAGATCCTGGCTACACAGAAGTTGGAACAATGGAAACAAGAGATGGGAATAGTTCCATTATCTTTTACTAAATACATAATTAACTTTTTTTAAAAATAAAACCGACTTCAAATGCGTGAACACAAAAAAAAAACTAAAAATTAAAAATATTGCGTATAAAAAAGTTCATCCCCAATTTTCCACCCTTGGGGGTGAAATATTTTCTTCAAATTCGCATGAAACCACCCTTTTGATAATACCTATTCAACAAAAAAATAATCGTTCAAATTGATTTATAATCGGCGGAGATATTGCGTATAAAAAAGTTCATCCCCAATTTTCCACCCTTGGGGGTTGTTTTTTCTATTATTAAATTTAAATGGGACCACCCTTGAGGTATTACCTATACGCCGAAAAAAGATTTGTTCAAATCGGTTCGTAATTGGCGGAGTTATCACGTAACAAACATAGAAAAAAAAATCATACGGGTCGAATTGAGAACCTCCTCCTTTTTTGAAGTCGGTTGAAAATAAAGTTGAATCCCCAAAAACAATAAATAATAAAAAATGAGAGAATTTAGTTTAAGGAAGTGTAAAGGACATAAACACTGTGACACGTATACAGTTGATAATATGTGTTATTTTGCAAAAAAAAAAACATTTTTGATGTACTGTCGACTGCAGAATTCATCAAGACTGCATTACGATTTAGTTGTTTTAAAATTAAAATGTTTATAGTATTTATAATAATGCGAAACGGTTATTGCATAACATGCATACTTCAAATACGAGTGTTACTTGCGTGCAGTGGGTTCTGTGTATTTTCACTTATAAAATAATATGATCTTAGGGCGTACTCAGGGAATTCGCTTTGAAGTCAAACTATTTGACCTAAAAATCAGACTTGACACCCGGCAAAGTAGGTTTTCAACGTTCAAAAATAATAATCAAGCATATTTTTAATCAGGAATTTCTAATATCATAATGCATGTAAAAATTCACCCAAGCGAAGTTGTATAATTATTGCTGCATAAGGTCCGGTTTCCACTAAGGCGGAGCGGAGAATAGCGGAGAAGTTTTGGGCTGACGAATTTTTCTATAGAATTTGACAGCAGCAGCGGCGTGGCGCGTTGCGGAACTGTGCGGAGCGGAGAAGAGATGTGGAAATAATTAAATCTGATTAGTTATTCAAAACACTGCTCCGCTCCGTTATGCTCCGCCTTAGTAGAATCCGGGCATAAATAATATGTGTTTGAACTCTAAATGATTAAAAGCAATATTAGGTGCCGTTACACCATATCTATGACATGCATTACAATGAATTTGATATACCTACTTGAAAATGAGTTCAACCGTCAATATAAAAGTGGAGAGAAATATCAACAGCCTCAGTTTCTAAACTGGACACAATGAAACTATTATCCTGCTTCTTATGTAAGTAACTTTATACTTTATGTTTGTATATTACAGGAGACAGGGCTCTGCAGTGTAAGGCCTGGTTTACACCAAGGCGGAGCGGAGAAGCGTAGGGCGGACTAATTTTTCTATAGAATTTGACAGCGGCGGCGGCGAGAGAAGTGGAAGAAAATTGATTGGTTATTGAAAACACTTATCCGCTCTGCCCCGCCATGGTGGAAACCGGGCTAAAAACAAAAAGCAATAACATATTTTATTATCCGTTGACCGCTGGATTACTGAAAAGTATGTTTATATCCGTTGTCAAGTACGCATAGTACAAGGATATTTATTTACGCAGTGTAAAATATCCAAGGATATTTATTTATTTATTGAATATTTTATTGTGAATTTTAATTAATTTGAATTTATTTTTATTCTTTATTTTATTTTATAATGTTCTAAGATTCTTTTTGCCGCTGCGTACAAGGCACTCACTGAAAGCCAGTGTCTTAGCACTTGGCAGTAACATATCAACTGTCAAGATGATACTGAGTGGGCATTAATATATTGTTTTAAACTTTCATGGTCACTAACATAATTATTATTACTGACGGTATTGCTATAAAAATAAAAAAAAAATGGGCATTGCATTTCTTTGAAACATTTTTTTCCATTGTTTTGATGTGTTTATGTGTATTATTTAGTTGTCAAATATACATGTTTTTTCTTTTTTTTTTATGCATAACAAGGCAGGTATTTGACCACAATCTTTCTTTCTTTTTCAGTGGTGACCACCATAGGCCTGGCCTGTGGCTTTGCCTACTATCCAGCGCCACCGCCACCGCCACCGGCGCCGAGTCCACCGCCTTTATGCAGTTGTCCTCCGCCACATCTAGTACCATATGAGCCGTTGTGTGGAAGCAACTACAAGACCTACCCCAACAAATGCGAGTTGGGCTGCGACCATAGCCAAGGTGTTGGCGGTATATTTGTACTGTACAAAGGACCCTGTGTGTCCCATTATCTTCCCCCTCCCCCACCTTCCCCGGGGTCAATACCAATTGGGAGCCCACAAACCGCGGGAAGCTCTGCCTATTAGGCAGTTAAATTGATTAAATTATAAAAAGAACATGAAATGTTCGTGATCTATATTTATTTTTATGTATTAAAAATATATTGTATTTATGTTCATTTTCTGTTTTAAAATACCTATGCATAGCTTAGTTTTATATTTTACGGCGCTGTGCAATTTTTTTTACATATTTATGGGGTTTAAAATAATTGTTGAATTAAAGTATATATGTATTTATAGTTTTTTTTGTTTTATTGTTGAATGCGTATAAATAAAAATTCATGAACCTGACCCGATGTGTCGATTCTAACGTAACTCGAATTATATTGCGATAGATTACAGGTAGGTTTCCTCTCCTCTTTCTCAAATTAACCTTAACCTTAATGTAGGCGATGGAAGTTGATGGGTGAACGTAGGTGATAGATAAAATGAAATGAGAGTCCAGGTAGGTGTATTGAAAATGAGGCGCGTCCGGGTGTGCGCACAAGTACGTTCGCAGATGGTGAGAGTTCGACGACGACTGGCGGCTCTGGTGGGCCGCTAGAGGCTTCTAATCAATCAGGCTAGAGGCCTCCGGCCAATCATCGGGCCGCATCTAGCTAACGGCTAGTTCGAAAAGTTCTAGGCGCGCGCGATATTACTTTTACCTACGCGCACCCGGTTTTACTTATTATTTAATGTTGCCATAACCAGAGTAAATATTACGTACAACAACAGACATTTACTTAGGCAAATGTAGTAAGACCCTTACTTACATAAACAAAACACAATAAGATAAGTCATAGGACTTAGGTAAGTTTAGTAACTAGATAATCAGAAAAGTAGCTGCATTAAGTAGCTTTCGTTCGTTCGTTCGTTTCAGCCGAAAGACGTCCACTGCTGGACAAAGGCCTCCCCCAAGGATTTCCACAAAGACCGGTCCTGCGCCGCTCGCATCCAGGTACTTCCCGCGACCTTCACCAGATCGTCGGTCCACCTAGTGGGAGGCCTGCCCACGCTACGTCTTCCAGCTCGTGGTCGCCACTCAAGAACTTTTCTGCCCCAGCGGCCATCATCTCTTCGAGCTATGTGCCCCGCCCACTGCCACTTGATTTTAGCGATTCTGCGGGCTATGTCAGTCACTCTGGTTCTCCTACGGATCTCCTCATTTCTGATTCGATCACGCAGGGAAACTCCGAGCATAGCACGCTCCATCGCTCTTTGGGTGACCTTGAGCCTTCTTATGANGTCAAAAGTATTTGACCAGTGTGTGTTGCCAGTGATGGTGTATGGCTCTGAGACGTGGTCGCTAAGTAGCTTTATAGGTACAAAATCAGGTACATAAATACGACACAATGTAAGTCATAAGGCGTAAGTTAAACAGTAAATCATAATTATTTTAGTTACAATAGGTACTAAAGCACATAAATACGTAGTTCTAGCTAACTAGTACCAACTCTTGGTGGCCATCATCAACACTTAAAATAAATCGTATCAAAATTCACTGTTTCCAATCACTAAACTTGGCAAAGCAAAGGAAAACTTAGGAAACTTTCTAGGCGTTTATGTTTTCAATTTCAGTTTAAACAGCAAAATAAGTTATTCAATAAAGATTTTTTTTAAAGCAATCTTTTAATGCTCTAAAAAGAATAAAATAAAATATAAATTCTTTCAAACACATCAATTTATTACATTACTTGAAGCTAAAGATTAAAGCTTGCCCCGATATTAAGAGGTACTTGGCAAAACCACATTCATACTTAATGGAACGAACATAATTTCCCATAATAGAGGTACATACGGATATTATCCAGGCCAACGTAGTCATCAAGACGAATCAAATGAGCCCAAACTCGACAAAGTTGTGTCGCTTTATTGCGGAGTTCCTATGGCCACCTTCTCCTTCATCAGACCTAGTATATAATTACCATATAAGATTGAAAGTCGATGGGGTAGCGTCGCTGTAGTGCGGAATTGCTATGGCCACCTTCTAGCTCCATCATAACACCCTGGTTATCATATAGGATTTAAGTCCTCGTCAACACGAATTAAAGGAGACCAAACTCCCATCGAGTTTGGGTTGTTTTATTGCGGAGTTGTTATGGTTATTGGCCACCTTTCAGCTCTATCATCAGACTCTGGTTGCCATACTGGAGTGAAGTTCTCATCAATAACAAGCCCAAACTCCATGAGGATGTCGTTTTCATGCTTCCACCTTCGGCCTGATCGTCACTTACCATCAGGTGAGATACAGGCCAAGAGCTTCCTCGTTGTGAATATAAAAAAAAAAAAATAAACCTTTCAGCTCCTAGACAAGTCGTCAGGGCCGCTGCGTTGCTATCAGCACCCTGGACATCATCTAGCACTAAAGTGCTCGAAAAGACAAATCCACGCGCCGTTTCATTTAGGAGTTCCTAATTCCTGTGTCAGCAGATTTACCTCGTAATGTTAAGATGCTGTGAAGGTGATTAAGATAGAATCAGATAATGATTTAATTATGTGCATACAGGCACAGCCACCTCCCGACTTCATCATCAGATTCAGGAACCTGGACAATTGGACATCATCTAGCACTACAGTGCCCGAAAAGAAAAATCCAACGAAACCAAACCCGATAAGTTTCCGCCGTTTCGTTTAGGAGTACGGGGAGCCCCCAATATTTATTATATTTTTTATTTTTGCATTAAAATCTTAATGCGGTTCACAGAATAGATCTACCTACCAAGTTTCAACAGTATAGCTCTTATAGTTTCGGAAAAAAATGGCTGTGACATACAGACGGACAGACAGACATGACGAATCTATAAGGGTTCCGCTTTTTGCCATTTGGCTACGGCATTTGTACTTGTAAGTACAAAATTAGATAAGGGCACAATAAGGGTTTTGAAATGAGATGAAATGGGTGGTAATATTACTGCGAATTGCGATAAATATTAAGTTGAAACTTTAAATGATTAAAGAAAATGATTTATGAATTAGATGCTGTTACACCATACCTAAGGCAATACAATCAATTTGATATACCTACTTTAAAATGAGTTCAACCGTTAATATAAAAGTGGAGAGAAATATCAACAGGCTCAGTTTCTGAACTGGACACAATGAAACTATTATCCTGCTTTTTATGTAAGTATGCAAAAGATAACTTTATACTTTATGTTTGTATATTACAGGAGACAGGGCTCTGCAGTGTAAGGCCTGGTTTACACCAAGGCGGAGCGGAGAAGCGTAGGGCGGACTAATTTTTCTATAGAATTTGACAGCGGCGGCGGCGAGAGAAGTGGAAGAAAATTGATTGGTTATTGAAAACACTTATTCGCTCTGCCCCGCCATGGTGGAAACCGGGCTGTAAACAAAAAGCAATAACATATTATCCGTTGACCGCTGGATTATTGAAAAGTATGTTTATATCCGTTGCCAAGTACCTACGCATAGTACAAGGATATTTATTTACGCAGTGTAAAATATCCAAGGATATTTATTTATTGATTATTTTATTGTGAATTTTAATTAATTTGAATTTATTTTTAATCTTTTTTTTATTTTATAATGTTTTAAGATTCTTTTTGCCGCTGCGTACAAGGCACTCACTGAAAGCCAATGTCTTGGCACTTGGCAGTAACATATCAACTGTCAAGATGATACTGAGTGGGCATTATACAGGGTGGGCATATTTAGGGAGTTGATTAAGTAGCTTATTCTGATCACGAATCAGTAAAAAAATTGACAACAAAAAAAAAATCTAACTTTAACTTTAGTTAGTCAAAGAAAAATACCTATTTACACTACCTACTTTACGTGGCTTCCTTCAGTAGGTTATCCGACATGATAAGCGAGCGATCCGCGTAGCTTGATGGTGCCGTAGTGTAAACTATTGCAGTATTGCGAGCCACAGTACAGTTAATTTCGCACGGAAAATATTTGCTAAAAATTCCACTTTCGTTTCCAAAACTTTTTTGGTAGATAATGCGTTTATTTAAGTCAGGATAGATCACCTAAATAAATATGGCGAGGATTGAAATCAACACCCTGTATTGTTTTAAACTTTCATGGTCACTAACATAATTATTATTACTGACGGGATTGCTATACACTATAGTATAGTGTATAGTGACTATACCATGTACCTTAATTTTGAGTTTCCGATATTTCGGCACTGTCGGAAACTCAAAATTAAGGTACATGGTAGCAATCCCGTCAGTAATAATAATTATGAGTGGGCATTGCATTTCTTTGAAACATTTTCTTCATTGTTTTGATGTGTTTATGTGTATTATTTAGTTATCAAATATTTTTTTTCTTTTTTTATGCATAACAAGGCAGGTATTTGACCACAATCTTTCTTTCTTTTTCAGTGGTGACCACTATAGGCCTGGCCTGTGGCTTTGCCTACTATCCACCGCCACCGCCACCGACGCCGCCGAGTCCAATGCATGCGTGCGGTTGTCCTTCGCCACGTCTATTACCATATGAGCCGTTGTGTGGAAGCAACTACAAGACCTACCCCAACAAATGCGAGTTGGGCTGCGACCATAGCCAAGGTGTTGGCGGTATATTTGTACTGTACAAAGGACCCTGTGTGTCCCATTATCTTCCCCCTCCCCCACCTTCCCCGGGGTCAATACCAATTGGGAGCCCACAAACCGCGGGAAGCTCTGCCTATTAGGCAGTTAAATTGATTAAATTATAAAAAGAACATGAAATGTTCGTGATCTATATTTATTTTTATGTATTAAAAATATATTGTATTTATGTTCATTTTCTGTTTTAAAGTACCTATGCATAGCTTAGTTTTATATTTTATGGCGCTGTGCATTTTTTTTTTAATATTTATGGGATTTAAAATAATTGTTGAATTAAAGTATGTATTTATAGTTTTTTGTTTGTTTTATTGTTGAATGCGTATAAATAAAAATTCATGAACCTGACCCGATGTGTCGATTCTAACGTAGGGTAAACCAGAGAGTGATTGCCCACTGGTAGTGATTGCCCGCTTTAAGAATAATATTGTCAGGTGCTGACTTTGAATCACTCTAGTTAGATTTGAATTTACTAAGTAGATGGCTCCGAGATTAATGTACAGTAGTATGTAAAATTTACAATAGGAAACACTAAAAAAAATAGTTATGGCGGATTTTGTCAAGACGGGTGAAAATGTTACTCAAACAGGTAAAGACTTTAACAATTTTACTAAGGAATTACTTGCTTAGAGGTTAATTTTTTTTTGCAAGTTATTTAATATTCAACTTATGGTGTATAGTCATGATGAAATTATAAGTGTTTTCTCCATTATCAATGAAAATAACTGATAAAATTTGATTTCTAACGGTCATTTTAACGGTGGGTAATCACTGCACGTAAATCTGTATATTTTTAGTTATTGCCCACCATCATTTCAGTTATTGCCATATGTTAATGTATAGTTATTGCCCAGGGCAATTATTATTAGAGTGTTGCCACCATGCAGTAGCAGTGTTTAAGTTGCTCATTGCTAGACTTGTTTTGCAATTTACAGGCATAAATATTGAAATGGCTTTTAATGTTTCATTTTCAGTATGCGAAAGACTCCAAAAGTTCAATATAGCATAGAAAATTTGCAAAAAGCGATCGAAGCTGTGCAAGATGTATCCAACAATTTATCTACAAGATAAATTGCTGAAAAATATGGTTTGGCTTGAAAAAATTGATAAAAATTCAAACGCAAATACAAAAAATGAAAATCCTACGTTAAATCTACTAGTGAAAATGTTAATTGTAAGGAAATAGATACAACTTTAGGAAAGAATAACCAACAGCTAATTGAACATTCTGAGCAACCACTTGAACTGATATCAAAGAAGATAAAAAAAAATACATATAAAATTCAAATTTTTGCGTCATCTATGTTTTGAAGTAGACGATTCTGTCTCTACCGATTCTGACTCATCAACATCAACTCAAGAAATATTTGATAATATAGTTAATAAGGCCAAACGCAATTTATTTTGAAATTTTGAAGACTGTACTGCTAGAATTTAAGTTTAATGTTTTGTTTTGTTTATTTAAAGCCTATTTTGTCATTTTAAAATTGATTATTTTGTTTTAAGATACTGGGCAATTACTGTGCTTTGATGTGGGCAATTAGTGTAAGTAATGGGCAATGACTGTACTTTTTGGAGGATTTTAAATTTATTTCAATATTTTCTAAGTTACGTAAGTTTTAACTAAAATCTGTTAATATTCTGTTTAACAGTTTATTGAGTTATAAGAAAAAAGTCATAATTGGTCGATAAATTAAAATACTTTCTTTAATTTTTCATCTCAATGTGTTTGAAATCCTTAAGTGGGCAATAGCTATACGGTTTACCCTAACTCGAATTATATTGCGATGGATACAGGTAGGTTTCCTCTCCTCTTTCTCAAATTAACCTTAACCTTAATGTAGGCGATGGAGGTCGATGGGTAGTCAATGTAGCAATTCCTACTGTAGATTTTCCATGTCTATTTTGTGGTATGGAGAGGGCTATGCTCGGTGTTTCTTTACGAGATCGAATCAGAAATAAGAAGATTCGTAAAGTCTAGTCGCTGACATAACCCGACTTATTACCAATCTGAAGTAGCAATGGGCAGGGCACATAGTACGCAAGGTTCAAATTAAAAAAAAAATGCCTTCTGGAGTGGAAGCCACGTTCCAGCAACGCAGCGTGGGATATCCACCCACAAGGTCTGACGACCTCATAAAGGTAGCAGGAAAGTGCTAGATGCAGGCTGTTACCAACTGGTCAATATGGAAATAAATTATTGGTGGGGGCCTACGTTCAGCAGTGGACGCCCTGGGTGTTACCATGTATAATATGTATGTATTTACAAATATTAGTATTTAAGTACATATGTTTATATCCGTTGTCTAGTACCCATAGTACAAGTTTTGCTTAGTTTGGGACTAGAAGCGTAGTGTAAAATTTTGCAAACGGATCCCTAAATCGAAAAATAGTCTTAGAAACCCCTAGATCATTTTAAAAGACCTATTCAACGATACCCCACACGATGGGATGAAGGATGAAAAAAAATTCATCCCCAGTACATGTAGGGGAGCTACCCTAAAATTTTTTTTTTTCAAAATTTTATTCAACCACTGTGTCGGCGTAATTAATATCATACCTTCATAAAATTATAGCTCTCTAGTGCCAATAGTTTCCAAGAAAAACTTCGGATGGGCAGACAGACGGACTTGCCGAAACTATAAGGGTTCCTTGTCAAGACTATGGAACCCTAAAAAGGAAGTTAAGATATCAAATTAATTAAAAATGTATGTACGATATACTGACTTTTTGGGAAAAAAAATTCTGGAAAGGATACATTACTAATAAAGATTTTAATTTGATGTTACATTTTAAGGAGCATATCAATATTTCCAGGATGGCCTTAGAAACTAAATTTGAAAAAAAAAAGAATAAAAATAGAACACTTACCCCATCGATAATTTGGCAGAAATGTACAGCGACCGTCGCACTCGTGATGTTCGGAAACTTGCTGGAAGAATGGATGAGCACGGAGATCTTCTTAGAACGGATTTTGGTTGCTCGGTAGCCGAATACGAACAGCATGGAGTCAATGACGTTGCTCTTGCCACTACCATTGGGCCCTATTATTGCTGTAAAGCTCTGAAATTTAAGAAAAAAATACATGAAACATCTTTCATTACTAAATTATTTTAAAGTTGTTAATTTTTGTAGTCTTGCTCTTGTCATTTTATAGGCTAAAACTAAAGGTAGCAGGAAGGCGCTGGATGCAGGCTGCTACCCACCGTGCGATGTAGAAGTCATTGGGGGAGGCCTATGTTCAGAGTGGATGTCCTATGGCTGAAATGATGACGATGATGATGATAGGCTAAATATGGACTTTTCGGAACTAAATTTACTAGATAACTGATAATGTACTGCAAGTAATTAGTGAAGTAAAATGTTATAAGAACTACTGTAAACTGTATTGGGCAGTAAATTAGTTCTTAAATGTCTAGAAATATAAAAAAAGCTTTGTCGGCCGTTTGGTGTAGTGGTTCAGAACAGACTACTATGCCGAGAGGTCCCGGGTTCGATTCCCGGCCGGGCAGAAATTGAAATGATGAATTTTAATTTCTGTGACGGGTCTGGGTGTTACTATGTATACATATATTGTATGTATTTTAAAAAAAAAAGTATATAAGTAGTATATCCGTTAAGCTAGCACCCATAACACAAGCATATTAATTGCTTACTTTGGGGCTAGATGGCGCTGTGTGAGATTGTCCAAAGATATTTTTTTACTAGCTTTCCGCCCGCGGCTTCGCCCGCGTGGAATTTTGTCTGTCACAGAAAAACTTTATCGCGCGCGTCCCTGTTTCAAAAACCGGGATAAAAACTATCCTATGTTCTTTCCCGGGACTCAAACTATCTCTATGCCAAATTTCATCAAAATCGGTTGCAAGGTTTAAGCGGGAAAGCGTAACAGACAGACAGACAGACAGACAGAGTTACTTTCGCATTTATAATATTAGTTGGGATGTATTTGTCAGAAGTAGCTCTAATAATTACCAGTCCAGTACTGCCGTCCTAACGAAGAGTGCAATAAGTCGAGTTTGGGCAAATTGACTTAAGACCATATCCATAATCAGGAAAATGAGGTCTATATAAGATACATCTTTTCTTTATCTTCAATAGTTTCGGATCTATTAGTTATCATAACCGCAATATCTAATATTATTATTTGTAAATAGCTAATCGTTAATCGCAAATATCTCGAGAGTCGACAAAACATAGTTATTGCACTTTTCGTTAGGGGGGCAGAGTAGGCATTACTAAAAAGCAAGTAAATGCAGTTTTTACGGCCTCTAGGTAGAAAAATGTGTAATATGTATGTACAACAAAGTTTACTTAAGTAATGTGTTTGTTAGGATGGTTCCCACAGAAGTACATCTGCTTGTTCTGACTATTGGACAACTTGTGAATTACCTAACTAGTAACTACATAAAATTTATTAATTTTTCATGCAAGTGACTGTAAGGTTTTTAATGAGAAATAAATGGTTAAACCTAAAAAAATACTTCCCAGGAGTAGCTGTACTACTCACTGGTTCATTACACATTATTAACAACATTTACCTTGTGAAAAGGCCCCAAAGTCTGCACTCCAGCGTAACTTTTAAAGTTTTCATTTACAATGTGAGTTATGATCAAACGAGGGCCTGTGGCATCAAAAGTAAGAGCTGGCTTTGGAGCTGGAGGGATGTAGATATCACCGATTCTAACACCACCCTCCTCATCATCAGATATGTGGTCTATTTCACCATTCATGTCTGCATCGCCGTTTTGACTTGTAGCAGGGACATCGTCAACTTCCATCGGCTCTTCTTCGCCCCTTTTCTTTTTTGTTTTCTGCATGTTATACACTAATTTGACGGTTATCGAATTCCGCAGCGAACGGCGTAAACACTATCACTTAAATATGCGAGGTTAACCATTCAAATTAAATTATGTTTCGAATCAAAACCGTTTGAAGACAGAAACGCGCGGAGGGAAAACAATTTTGTTTGCGACTGTCACTGTCAACTGTCAGGTCAGAGCAATGACATTTTGTTTTTTTATTCTTCTTTACGTTTTGTTTTGAAACTTTATACAATTTAAAAAAAATGAATTTAAGTTTAGATTAACATTCCCATATGGCCCCTCCTCACCCACGGCCTCTCATCATGAATGAATACAATCAATAGTTGAATCGGTAGCCAGCCCAACATCCTGTGCCCCGATTGCGTTAAATATTTTCAACTACAGCGCAACTGGAATATGAACGAAAATCAGCTGTGTGCACAAATTCGTAACGCGATGTATGTCACTTTGACACATAGTTCTTTGTGTAAAAGCTGAAAGAAAGAAAGCTACTTTTTCTCAAACGCAAATCAAACTCATTACGAACATTTGCTGTGTTTTAGTGAATAAAATATTAAGTGTTCGGACTTTTAATCCTTCAAGCTCCGCGAATCTAGACACAATAGTTAATTTAATCAATTGTTATGACATGACATTAATTAATGCCGTCTGGGACTCAATCGGTTAATGGAAAGTGCTGAACTCCGTTGTTTCGTTATTGTTTGCGCGTGAACTTTACCGCGATAAGATAAGTACCGAATCGCACATCAGGTGGAACGAAAATGGACTACAACAATTTTTTTTTTTTTTTTTAATTATTTGTCGGCGCCGGACACAGATGCTGCAAATTATTATTGATGATTAATAGTACCAATCTTAATATTATGTTATCTGTAGAAATCTGTAGAGCAGAAGGTTTGTGATTCCTAAACGTAACACCCGACTGATGCGCAGAAAAAGATAACTGTCAAAGTGTGAGCAGGCGGCTGCGAGGTTATCTTTGAAAGCGTGTTGAGTTTGGTGGAACGGTTAATTGTAGGAAAAGTGATTGTCAACCATCCAAGATATTATCTCCTTGCCCGTTAACCCACGCCAATGGAGATTCCACCCCTAGAGTTCCTTCTGATAGAGACCCAGTGCCTTTATACCTATTTAAATAAATATCCTTGGACATTTTACACTCACCATTTTAAATGGTGGAGTAATGTGGACTAAAGATGAAACGCTTGAAACTAATGAATTGGAGACATTGCAAATTAGCGCAATCGAGGCCCATTTTCAACTGCAACGTAGCTGGACGCTTTTCATTAGTTAAGACGAAACAACGGATTTAAGCACTTTCCAATAAACGTCCGCCGAACACCTTATTTTTTCTCTAAAAGCATGTTCGTGAAGCATTTGAATTGCGTTTATGATAAAGTAGCTTTCTGTCAGTTTTTACTCAAAGGCGCAGTTGCATTCCGATTACGTTACACTTTCGTTTGAACTAGCTGTCAAAACGACTCCACAGATGACCCACGCTGAACTGTCCCGCCAAACTCAATGACAGGGGGGCGCTACCATCGTTCAACTATATGGTTTCCAACATGGCAAAAATCGGAACCAGCGATCCGGTATTGACGGTGGCGCCCCACTGTCAATGTCATCGATAGGACAGTTCAGTATTTTGGAACTATAATACGGATTTGTTAAAACAGCTGAAGTTCGTGCGTCGTCCAGTGGCATTGCAGTTGATTAGCGCAATCCAATCGGATACCGACAAAAGTCACCCGTGCGCGTAATAATTCCTAAAATAAACCACAGAGAAAATACACAAAAAAAAAACATCGGGCTTGCCCATGAAGCTTAAGACAAAAATGGAGGCCACACTTGGAACAACAACTTGAGTCAATACCTACTTATCTCTATCTCGCTCTTTGTGGGCCGACCTCTCTTTTTAGTGTGGACTATAGTATTGCTATCTCCTTATTTAAATCTCCTAGTAAATTCCTCGAAATAGTCAATTCACTAACTAAATCAGAAGTTAAATAAATAATTAAATATTTGAAATACGATTACCTAGTCAAATTGAAAATCACAAAATTGTCGGCCGTTTAGGCTTAATGCGTTGGCGAATCAGGGAATTACAATCCCAACTCCTGGAATCGGTTACTTACCATGTGGCAACATCAGCCCAATCCAGCCCATCATGGCGGTTGTTTACTATTTTGTTTACTATGCAGTTAATTTCGTTTGAGATTTTTTACAGGACCTATCATTGTTTTATCACAAGAAATGGTGCAAAATTTTGTAGTGCGTGGTTGCGGTAGTACGTGGTGTACCAGTAGTGACTTAAGATTCCACGCGTAAGTGTTTATTTTGTGATTTCCGACATTGAATCATTGTAAACATTTTTCACAGTAATTTCTTCCTAAAACGTTTTACCAGTATTAACACTCATTATTTAATGATACCTATGTCAAGAAATAAAGGTTTTACATTGAGTTTCATTGATTTGAGCAAATTTATATTTTTTGTTTATTTAGAAAGAGAGAGTCTGCCCACAGAGAGCGAGATAGTGATATATAGGTTGTGCTTCAAGTAGGTATTCTAAGTGTGGCCTCCATTTTATCTTTAGCTCATGGGCTTGCCTATGATCCGTAACCATAAAATGTCAACTTGACGTTGATTGATGGAACAACAAAAATGGCCAACCGTACGGTGAAGGACGCGAAATCTATTCGCGGGACAAATCCTCAATATCTTGTGGAAAAGATCATACGATCACGTATATACGATTGTAAATACTGGAAAGAAGAATGTTTCGCTCTAACCGCGGAGCTTTTAGTGGACAAAGCGATGGAGTTGCGTTACGTCGGCGGCGTGCACGGCGGCTTCATTTACCCCACACCTTTCTTGTGTTTAGTGCTGAAAATGTTACAGATACAGCCTGAAAAGGACATCGTGGTGGAGTTTATAAAGAACGAGGAGTTCAAATATGTGCGTGCCTTGGGCGCCTTTTATATGAGGCTCACGGGATCGTCGGTCGATTGTTATAAGTATTTGGAACCACTTTACAACGATAATCGTAAGTTGAGAAGGCAGAATCGCGTCGGCCAGTACGAAATCGTTCACATGGACGAGTTTATCGACGAGTTATTGCGAGAGGAACGTCTGTGCGACGTTATTCTTCCACGAATTCAGAAAAGACCTATTTTAGAGGAGAACAATGAGCTTGAACCGAAGGTGTCTGCTTTAGATGATGATCTGGATGAAGATATGCCTTCAGACGATGATAATGCTGAACCTGATTCCAAAGAGAACAGAAGAGAAAAGGAAAGAAGAGATAGAGATAGGAGAAGAGATAGGTAAGTGGTTTCACCAGAGTAAATACAAATGAAACGCCCGAGCACGGTTTGTATGTGAGCGCGCCAATACGTATGCGGCGCGCACGCACACACTGACAAAAATTATTGTTGATTAGCGGTGCTGTACAAACCGCGCTCGGTGCGTTTCTATGAAGATGACCTACTCATTTGTATTTACTTTGCCGTTATGGTATGATGTTGCTGAACAACAATATTGAAAGACCTGTATGTACCTACATTATGCAATAAAATATTTGATTTGATTTGATAAAAATATTTAGTAATCCCAACTAATATTATAAATGCGAAAGTAACTCTGTCTGTCTGTCTGTTACGCTTTCCCGCTTAAACCTCGCAACCGATTTTGATGAAATTTGGCACAGAGATAGTTTGAGTCCCGGGAAAGAACATAGGATAGTTTTTATCCCGGTTTTTGAAACAGGGACGCGCGCGATAAAGTTTTTCTGTGACAGACAAAAATCCACGCGGGCGAAGCCGCGGGCGGAAAGCTAGTGAAAGATAAAATTGTTTGTTCTTTTAATGTACTATTTCAATATGAATTTGAAACTACACTGAGCGCTTATATTAATTAATTAAGCTTATTGTAGTTAGAAAGTTCCAAAGAATTTAATAATGATAAACACATTTACCATCTATGAAAGATTTTTTCAGTTGCTTTGACATTTGAATAACTGATCTAATTAATTTTCTATAATCATTTTCAGATCACGAGACCGAGACCGACGTGACAAGGAACGCAAGAGAGAACGTTCGAGAAGCAGAGACCGCGAACGGAGAAGGGAACGGGAAAAAGAGCGAGAACGGGAAAAAGAGCGGGAACGGGAAAAAGAGCGGGAAAGGGACAGAGAACGGGCCCGGGAAGCGAGAGAGAGGGAGAGAGAGAAAGAAAGGCGGGAAAGAGACAGACACGAGCCCGACAGAAGAAGAGAAAGGGGCGGTAGATATTAGAGTAGTTTTAAGTTAAATAAATTGTTTTCCAACCAATCAAAACGAGTTTCATTTGTTACCAAGTTATTCTGTTAAAAGCACACATTAAAAGTACTTTAATGAAAAGGGGCTACTATAAAGTCTATTATTCAAAAGATAAAAATGTTTGGGATGCGTTACTGCCTAGCTCTCATAAATATTTATAACTTTGTACATTTTAAAGCATGTAAACCTTTGAAGAAGAGGCTGACAATAGTGACGTGACTTTCTTTCGCTGCTTCTTCTCAGCACTGGCCCATTTATTGTCCTGAAGCAGTGGTAGGGTTAATACTGGGACGTGTAAAAGTGCTTTTTTTAAGCCTATTTACAGAAATAAATGAGTTTTTATGTGCTACGCTACAACTGAAAATTTTGAAAAAAATTAGGATAATGAAAAAAACAAGTTGCAACAGAAATCGATATTTATTTACCTAATATGCTATTCAAAACAATGATCTCTCAAAAATATGTTAAAATACATTAATCTTTAATGTGAGTTTTTATAGTCCAACTAATTTCACAAAAAATATGCTTCAAATAGCTCGAATGCACGAGTCAACAGCTTTCTCACTTGAACTGATTAGATTCACAAGTTCGATTTCCATCAAATGTTGGATGAAACTTTAAAAACATTTGTGAGGTGTAGGTAAATCCTAACTAGTAAATAATGATTTTGATATTATTTAAGTATTTAATTTATACAAATACTGAACAGGCTGTGAGCAATGTTATGTTATTATAGAGTATTTCTCAAAAAAAGTGTACGTAACGAAACGGTAGTAACGAAATAGTAAGGCCATAAGGCTTGTTATACATTGGCGAAATATTGTGAATGCTCTTTATTTATTCAATTCGAAATATTTGTAAGTATGCACCCAAATACGGGGCAATATTAAGGGGTTAGAAATAAAATAAGGGAGTAATCATTCATACTATTTTAATAAAATTATTTTTGTTCCATCATGTTTATCCATTTTGAGTCGTTCTCTGTAAGCTTTTTGCCTTTCGGCATTGGTTTTTGGCGGCATTCCTAAAAAAACAAAAGAAGTAATCACATAAAAACGTAATCTAAATGATTTGATAATTTTTTGCTGGTGGCACTTCTGTAAAGCAGATAGTATCCAATCCTTTTGTTATTAACGCTCTATATTTTTTGAAATTAATTAAGTAGTGAATATTACTATGCTCAGGTAATAACAGTATACACTCAGCATTATGTTGTACTTTTTCGTAACGTAACGAAATTCGTAAAAAACGTAACGAAATATTAGACAAAATGAGATCAGAAACAAGTATTTTTTTGATAAAATTTGTTACAGCAAATATAAAAGCTTACTAAATGTTCGTACCACACGTATTACAAAAAATGGTTAAATGAAGACTTACCGTTCTATATAAAATCGCTGATTTTACTGCCTGTTACGAAAAAGTAATCCCACAAAACACACACGTTTTCACTAATTTTCGCGATAGATGTTATGGCGGAGACGTCAGGCCAACAGCCATTCAGAGTGCAGCTATTGTTGTCCGTGTAAAATAAATACGGAATTGTTCAGAAACCATGGGAAAGTAGAAATAAATCGTAACTAAAGAGTAAATAACGAAATAGTAAATGAGAGCGACTCATTTTGTTTTTTTGCTTTAAATTGCCAATTCATTATGACACCCCATAGAAAATCAATTTGATACAGAAACTGCGATTACTGTAGAACGATAATACAAAGAAATTTACAATAATTTAGTTACGTATCGCATTTTATGAAACAAAAATACATGAAAAAGCTAGGGTGGCAAACAGGTTTTTGTATGAAAGGTAAAAAAGGACTATTTTTAAAATATCTAAATATTTGGTAATAAGCAGGATTATAGCTATAATTCTTCGTTATCTTAAAGATTAATATTCATCCTTCAAAATTGTGTGTGTTTTTTGTGTGTGATGATTTATAAATATAAAACTTTTGAACTTTCGTGGGTTCAATTCCCGCCTTAGGCAGTTCGATTTTTTCAAGTTATTTATAATTTTCAAACTTTTGAACTGTTTCAAAGCACACTTTTTTTTTTCAAAATGTACATTTTTTTTGAGAAATAATTAATACATAATATAAATAGGTATTACAAGCTGTATGGAGGCCTTATGTTCGAAGACACGTGTTTTAGATTTCAACAATTTTAAGCAAATAAAAAGAGAAAGTAAAAATCTACTCATAGGTAATTTAAATAGAATTCTTGATTTCTGTACAAAAAACAATACCCTTCTTCTGGCGCAGTCGGGTAAAATACTAAAATCATAAATTATCGCGCTGATTATAAATGCTTTACAATTTCTTATAACATTTACCTCATTATACATAATTTTATCAATAATTAACATAAATATTTGATAATATTTACAATTTCCTAACAATGTAACATTTTCACAACAACTCATCCAAAAGTAAAAAATAATATTGGTAAAATGAAATCATCTGTGCAGTGTCTATAATTTGAAGTATTTTTCAAACAAAAGTTTGTTCAATTAAAGTAACAGATATAAAAAGCAGTCTGTTATTGTAGATACATCAACTTGTGTAAGCTGCTATAATTATCTAATCAAACTCCGCCCATCTAAAATATCTATTTGGCAATGTTATAATTTGTATAATTTTGGCATTTCCTTCAAAATAAACAAAATAATTTCAATCTACCACAAAGTAACAAATACCCTCTAATAATTCGAGTTTGATGCCCTGAGGAATAAGTTCCAAAATTGATAATTTATCCTCATAAAATAACGAATGTCCTCAATAAATTTTGACCTTTAATTCTTATGCATTAAAGTTAAAAATCGATTAATCCAATCCACCAATTCCAAATATAATTATTGCACTGATATTTTGTACTTACACTTATTTTATTTTTAGACCAATGGTTGTACATGGTGTTACCAAAGCTTAGCTTTAAAATGCATTTGAATTTGATCCTAAAGAAAGCCTATTTTTCATATTGAAAATACTGAATAAACATTTTACTTTTGAGTTGAAAAATTAGCTAAAACCTGATTGAATGCACGGACGACAGCACATCAAGGTCAACACTGCGGTATCTTATGTGGAGAGGCGAATTCGCAATAAAAATGTATAGATCGTTCCATCCACGAAGACGCGTCCCACCATTCTTCCGCTAATGTTTGAGTGTTATCGGTACACGTTAAATCATCCATGAGTGCACACGCACACTACAATAATGACGCTCGGATCAAACTCCTCGCACCTCGCGCTTCCCTCGACCAAACATTGGTGGGGCGCGTCTTCGTGGATGAAACGATCTATAATATCTGATGTGCGGTCGCTGTACCTTGCACACTTTTTTAAATATATCACATGACATGACCCAATCACCCAATAACCCAACTACTACAAGCCGTTTAAAGTCAATACAATCAATCATTCGCTCTGTAACAGATTCACAATTATTTTATCGAGTGACAAAATATCACATGACGGACGAGACGACACTAGAACAGCACTGCTGGAAGCTTTCAGAGTATTCGTTAAAAATCACTAGTATTTTTATCAAGTGACAAAAAACACACATTCCAATTACCAGTAGCGAGTCCGACACTGCGCATAGCGTTTTTCAGGAAGCCACTCAGGTTGCAAATAATCACTAGTATTTTTATCAAGTGACAAAAATCACACGATCCAATTACTAGTTCCGACACTGCGCATAGTGTTCTTCAGGAAGCCACTCAAGTTGGTTGTTTGCTAGAACGTCGGCGCGTTCATGATGAATATCCTCTGTTCTTCGCGCTTGATCCACCTGAGCAGACGGTCTACAGCTTTGATCGCTTGATCTTTCTCCATTAGGGGGTCGAAGGTTACGTAGAGTTCGAAACCGTTTGTTACCTGGAATTGAAAATGGATTTTTATAGATAAAATAAATGAACGATTAGTCGCTGGCTGACCGAAGGATGTTCAGAAAACAGGGTAAGAAATAACATTACTAAATGGAAATACAGGGTGACCCAAAATTAGCACATCACACGGACACCAGAGGTAGTTGGTTCTAAAAGGCATATCGATCGTATAAACCTAATAATGTTCATAGAAAGTTTAATGAGTTTTGAAATAGTAATGACCAATTTTAATATTTTTTTAAATTGAAATATTAGATTTGTTCGATGCATCTTACGCTCATCTACAGTATGACATGCTAATTTTGGAAAACCCTGTTTATTAGTACAAAATATCAAAGAACTCACCCAGGCCAAAATAGTGTCATCCGAGTTCGACCTAAATATCAATTTTGCTGGAATCGACGTACAATGAATTTGACTACAAAATTTCCTGTAATTTCTAACATAATCTATATCTGACAACTTTTCTATTTTCTTCTCTTTGACTATATCACCCCCTTCTTTATGCCTTATTCGATAATCTTGTAACCGATCCAGACTTATGGGGTCAGACGTGAAAAGTTGTGCCGTAGATTTGCATTTGTACATAAAATGCCTGATTTCTGGAATACCAATGTGTTTTAGGGGATTCGTTGTGGGTAATTCTTCATTTCTGTTCAGTGCGTCGTTGATTGCAACTAGACAGTTGGATCGTCGGAGTTTTTCTGCAATTGTGTGCTTAGCTTGAGAGAGAGGGAAGAACGCATCTCTCTGTACCGTTAGAAGGAGAAGGCAAGCTTGGCAGTCCTCGGATATGTATGAGACGTGCCCGTGGAGGAAACCCCTGGAAACAACAAATAGGTAAGTATTGTTTTTAGATTTTTAATGTATTAATTTCAATATTTTTAGGCTTTTACAGGTGAAGCGCTTAAGGTATGTATAGGTTAAGTAGAGCCGAGAGAGCAGAGCGAGTGTATTTTTAGAGTTCCGTAGCCAAATGGCAAAAAACGGAACCCTTATAGATTCGTCATGTTTGTCTGTCCGTCCGTATGTCACAGTTACTTTTTCCGAAACTATAAGAGCTGTACTATTGAAACTTGGTATTTCGATGACGTATTCTGTCAACCGCATCAAGATTTCCACACAAAATTAGAAAAAAAAGCAATACATTTTGGAGATCCCCATACTTACTTACTGACTCATTAAAAACACTAAAGCCCGGTCTGTGAGCACGTAGAATTTTGTCCAATGACCCCAAGCTACCCATCCTTATCGCTCGCGCGTAATCATATTGCTGTTTCGACTGTGCGACGGGCGCCCGCAGTGAGTGTGCGAGCGCGACAGCAACATAATTACGCGCGAGCGATAAGGATGGGTAGCTTGGGGTCATTGGACAAAATTCTACGTGCTCGCAGACCAGACTATAGCATATAACATGACCACAACCAAATCACATAAATAAATAAAGAAAACAAAAACAACTCACGTCGCGTCAAACTTCGGCAGACAAATCGGTGTCCAACTCTCCGCAGTCTTGAAGGATTCCGAACTCCTGACTAGGTTGAAAAGCAGGTGTATATCAGAAGGATGCAATGTGTACTTCTTCATCCGTACTAGCGTGATCAGCTGGTTCCCCGCTATGAGTATAGCAAACACCAAATCTCGGATTTTGTGACACGTCGTAGTTATCGCGTTTGTTATGTTTTCTCTGGCTTTTTCTGGCAATGGCAGACATCTTACTGCACCTGGAAAATTGTTTATTAACTGTAAGATTTTTTTGTATTAAACTAAAAAAAATGCTGTCTGTGTATTAGAAGATGTCAGTTAAAACATCTAGAATAGGATAGGGTACTGGGGAGTAAGAATGTCTAAACTTATTAAAACTTTGGCCTACTAGTTGTTCGTCATACAAGCTGCTGAACAGATTTTGATGCGCTTTAAAAATCGCCACACTGTAAAAAGTTTTGTTGATTGGCTGTTACAAAAGAAATAATCATTGGGAGAGGCCTATGTTCAGCAGTGGACGTCCTGTGGCTGAAATGATGATGATGAACGAGAGTTAAACATTGAGTTCTAATCACAAACTCTCTTCCTTTGTAGAGACGAAAGCACGGGCATAAGTAAGTACATGTAAATAGTATAATTTCATTCTTAAGCCCAGTTTTCACCGAAGCGGAGCGGAGTTAATTTTTTTTTCTATAGAATTAATATAAATATAAATAATATAAATATCCTTGGACATTTAACACGGCGCTTCTAGTCCCAAACTAAGCAAAGCTTGTACTATGGGTACTAGACAACGGATATAAACATACATAAATACTGTTTTTTTTTTTTTTGTAAATACATACTTATTATACATAGAAAACACCCAGTCCAATACAAACAAATATTATGTTCATGAACACAAATGTTTGTACTGTGCGGGAATCGAACCCGCTACCTCCGGAATAGTAGTCCGTTTCGAACCACTACACCAAACGGCCGACAAATCTGACAGTGCAGCGGAGAAGGGAAGTGGAGAAATATTGAAATCTGTTTGGTTATTCAAAAACTTATCCGCTCTGCGTCGCCTTGGTGGAAACCGAGCCTAAGTGACCATTGACAACTTTTTTTTTTGGTCGCAACGAAGAACGCTCTGTATAATCGTGTATAAACGCCCTAGAAAGTGCCTAAGTACTGAATCGTTTGTTCGTTCGTTTCAGCCAAATGACGTCCACTGCTGGACAAAGGCCTCCTCCAAGGTTTTCCACAATGAACGGTCCTGCGCTGCCCGCATCCAGGCTCTTCCCGCGAAAAAGTACTGAATAAAAAACATTAAAACATAAATTTTACTTACCTAATAAAAATGCAGGGTCTTTCTCCATAAATACGAATAAATTGTCGATAAGTCTCTCTGCCCCAGACAACAGTCTTCTCAGATCATAATTCCTCCTTTGTTCGAATATCCTATTTAGTTGTGTCAATGTTAACACTGACACTATTTGATTAAATGCATATCTGGAATGGAAAATAACATTGTGATTAGGTATTGTTGTGAAGTTGTGATAACTACCAATTCTCTGAATCTATGCAGTATTGCGTTTTCCGGTACGCGGCCTCCACTTCAGAACCTTGCTGCCCCATCGGCCGTCAGTTCTGCGTACTATGTGCCCTTCCTTACGAAAACGCAGCGTAGGACGTCCACCTACAAGGTGGACCGACATCATAAAGGTAGCAGGAAAGCGCTGGACGCAGGCTGCTACCAACCGGGCAACATGGAAAGCATTGGGGGAGGCCTATGTTCAGCAGTGGACGTCCTATGGCTGAGATGATGATGCAGTATTGCAGTATAAAGTAGGTAACATTTGAGCAAAATCAATTTCACTATTACAACCCGATTGAGTTAACTGCGCACCACGCTTGATTGCTCCTCCCTGCGTTCGCCCCGTCCGTACTATAGTTCATTCAACTTATGATGGTGATTTAGACAGATGAAACATTTCGTTTCATGAATCCAACTTCCTAAGAATAAAAATATTGAGGTGTAAAAATCAATCACTTTTTTGTGATTTTATCCTTCCAAAATACAATTATTAATCTTTCTCAATTAACCTAAACAAGAATTTCAAATACTTATTAGTTTATTATTTATTAAAATTTGTGAAAAAATATTACATAAATAAATATCCTTCCTTGGACATTTTACACTGCGCTTCTAGTCCCAAACTAAGCAAAGCTTGTACTATGGGTACTAGACAACGGATATAAACATACTTAAATACTTTTTTTTTTGTAAATACATACATATTATACCTACATAGAAAACACCCAGTCCAATACATGAAATGCATAATGTGTTAATCGGAACTTTTGCTCATAGGGATGGACAAGAACAATCGCAACCAATCAATAATCGGTATGGTGGTCATCTCACCATCGAATCACAATTATTCTTTCAGGCAGGTCAAAGGTGTACGGTACATGTGCGTTTGCCTTGTATGGCCGGTTGTGTTTTATGCGATTTCTCTACGAGTTGTTTGTCATTGTTATTTGTTGTTTTTATAGAATAAAATGCATAATATTTAATTACTAGCGGCCGCCCGCGACTTCGTGCGCGTGGATCTCGTTTTACCCCCCCTTCATCTATCTTACGCGGTTCAGATTTTTTCATACAAATGTTTTTTCCCATTAACTCCCGTTCCCATGGGAATTTTGCAATATCCTGTTGTAACTAAGCTTTAAGTTTACTAAGGTACCTGCATGCCAAATTTCAAGCGTCTAACTTAAGCTGTTTAGATTTTTCGTACAAAAGGATTTTCCCGCTAATTCCCGTTCCCGTGGGAATTCCTAAGTATCCTATAACCTGCCCAGGAGTATGAAGAATAATTGTACCATGTTTCGTTAAAATCCGTCAAGTGGTTTTTGTTTCTATAAGGAACATACAGACAGACAGACAGACAGACAGACAGACAAAAATTTTACTGATTGCATTTTTGGCATCAGTATCGATCACTAATCACCCCCTGATAGTTATTTTGAAAATATATTTCATGTACAGAATTGACCTCTCTACAGATTTATTATAAGTATAGATTTGTGATCTATTGTGTAATAACGTTTATTCCATATCCAGATAATTAAAATTCATAGATATAATTTTGATTTTTCGGAGATAAAATTAAAAATCAAACAAATAAAAAGTCGATTAGATTTCTTAAGAAAATATTGTCGATTCTAAAAAATATCGAGTAGGTTTAAAAGAAGCGCCTCACTAAATAGAAGTGTCATAATCACTTTCTTACGCAGTGTTGCCAGAAGGTTACTTTTGTAACCTTTTAGGTTACTTTTGAACTGCTGTGGTTACTTTTAGGTTACACTAATGAAAAGGTTACTTTTAGGTGATTTTTCAGAAATTGTAGAATTAATTTTACAGGTTATTCAGTATTAAATTTTAATAGTGATAATTTAAAAATTATGCATTTAAACTTGAATTTGATTTATTATTTGTTAAAAAAAATGAGTTTTAGCGAATGTTTTTCGATAATAAAACGCAAATCCATGAAACGTTTTTATACGACTGGTCACTTTTCGAATTTAGATGATCAATTGTATTCATTTTCCATCCATGAACAACCTTACACAATCATTGCTCCGCAAGTATGAAGGTTACTTTTTATTCAAAAAGGTTACTTTTTTTAATATTTCTGGTAATTTCTGACTAGACCCGACTGGCAACACTGTTCTTACGCTGAATAGACTATAGAGCGTCGATGTGACGTCACGGCTGCCAGATGCGCAGTTACCTCGACCGGCTTGTACTCAACTCACGAATTTGAATATTGCATGTCATATGGAGGTAGGTGGAGATTATGTTTATTGTGTACTACCTACATAAATTACAGAATATCAAAATATGCATTTCTGATTTCATTATCAATACGGATATTATGACACATGTGTCCTATGAGATAATACTTGCTGGTGGTGATAAACTACAAATGAATGCAGATATTGTATAGGATACATATTAATTTTAGACTGATAAGAGGGTCAGCTCCAGATTACAATGCAGGTGATTAATATTGCTATCTGGAATAATTATAGTTTACTAACTAGGCCAAATATTAATTATCACAATACAGAATTTATACATAATAGTGTCCACAAAAGTAAATAATTATGTGTACTCTCTATATCTCATTAATTTGTATTGTTTGAGCTTGGATGTGTTGCACTAAATATTTTTTTCTTTTTTATGCATAACAAGGCAGGTATTTGACCACAATCGCACCTGACGTTAAGTGGGATTTAAGTTTGATCCTGAATAAAATGGTCTAAATACTGTTTATTATGAGCATGACAATGAAATCTGAAAAATATTTATTTTACTCTTACATTCAAAATCTGAAAATGCGATCAGCAATTCACTTAAAATGGTTGGGAAGTAGAAGTGTTTTTTTAATGCAGGATTACCTTTTGGAATCTAGAAACAACTTATCATTGTAGTGGTAAGAATTGTAAAATGTTTGCTAAACTTACGTTAACTGCAGTACCAGCTGCGTTTCACTTTCATTTGACTTCGACACCGCGACAAGTATCAACGGACCTTTCACTAAGAACACCACCCTGCAATCTTTGGTGCAGATGGATCTGAGTATATCCTGGTTCTGGTCTTCGATCACACTGACTAATGCTTGGATCACACCGCACAAACCGGCCAGTTTGTCTTCGTTACCGTATCTGAAACATTATTTAAAAAGTATTTTAAAATGAAATATCATACAATTTTACCAAATCGTCGGTCCACCTAGTGGGAGGCCTGCTCACGCTACGTCTTCCGGTCCTTGGTGGAGGCCTTTGTCCAGCAGTGGACGTCATTTGGCTGAAACACATCGTATCGGATGTGCGATGCGTACGATGCGGCCAGGTATGAGTTTCCATATAAATAATACTACGATCCGTTGCGTGCGATACGTCCGATGCGTACGATACCGACATGTGGACGCTAGCCTTAAGAAGTAATTAATTTATGCTGGTATTCATTAAAGGTCAAAAGCCAAAAAATGGCTATAACTAGCAATAAAAGGTGACATCATCATCAACATCAGGTTTTAGTCTCCACTGAAGGAGTACAATCCTCTCTAACTTACCAGAAGCAAATGGAGGATTTTGCAGAGGCAATAAGTGACATAAACGAAAAATTATAGTCATTTTATATGAATCATCATCATCATTTCAGCCACAGGACGTCCACTACTGAACATAGGCCTCCCCCAATGACTTCCACATCGCACGGTTGGTAGCGGCCTGCATCCAGCGCCTTCCCGCTACCTTTATCAGGTCGTTGGTCCACCTTGTGGGTGGACGTCCCACGCTGACATATGAAGCATATTTTATATTAATACAAAAAAACAAATAGAAAGCTAGAGACTCTCTTTTAACATTACTGTGTTGTGTTTACTTTGTTATCTTAAAAACCTATAATTAAGATGTTTACCTTGAGTAAATAGGTTTCCCAGCAGAACTCAACACAAAAACATGTTTCTCCTTGTTCACCAACTCTGGTGATTGCAAATAATCATCCTTGTCATTGTCTTCATCATCACCATTCTCTTCAATTAGGTTTGAACTGCTGGCTGATGCTGACATGTTTCCCTGAAGAATGGAATGAGTAATTTTTATTTTATTTATTTATTGAAAGAAACATACAGTTAATTAGACATAATAATATTATGTCTAATTATGTCTTTGCTATTTACCTAACTAACATTGGAAACTTCTTTGGCTAATGTATTAGCAAAATTCTTCATTTATACCTTTATGAAGTATATATTATATATTATATATATATTATAGGCACAATTTACATTATCAATAAATTAGATTGATGTTTACAAAGCGAAAATTTAAATAAAGAGAGTTGTTTGTACAGAAATTAAAGCATTAATTTGTATTTGATAGTTGTTACAATCACACCAATATTGTAGAAGTTATCTAAAAGACATTGTGTAATAGATATGTAGAGAATAAAGATCAGGCTTATTATTTGTAATTTAATTAGAAGCTAGTTGTATAACAACTCACAGAATACAAGAAGTAAGCATGTTTTTCAAACATGATCTTTCTCAATTCACTTACATCTTTTTTTTAGTTTGTTATTGATTAGATTAGTAGGCTGTTGTGAAATAGGTCTATAAGTGGCTTTTATCAAAGAATAATCTTTATTATGGTAAATAATTCAAATTATTCATGACTAAAGCAACAAAAAACTCACATTCTTGCTTTGCAGATCATCGCTCGATTTTGTACTTTTCATCTCAGAACCGTCCTTGTCTTTCTCACCAATCTCGCTCTGGATCTCAGATATGGTGCTGCTCTTGGCTGCCAAAGACTTATTCCGCTCCTGCAGGGAGCAGCTCATCTCTGAAGCAAACTCATCGAAAGAATCAGTAGGGTTCAAAATACTTTCGGGACATGCGCCCGGTTCCAAGTCGTCGGTAGGGTTTATTTGAGTACTGGTGCCAGCTTGAACGTTGTCTTTAGAGGTAGACGCCATCGCACAGGGATTTTAGTATTTAAATATGTATTTTTATTTACTATGAAACTGCGTTTGTAAGTCCGCTGCATCGAGTTTTTGGGAAATAGATGAATGTCAGTGTCACAGCTGTCAGATATTAAGACATTGACAGCTAGTAATAATGTTGCCATGTAAAAAACAAATTGGATGCGTTCATAAATAATATATTTTTCGTTAAATAAAAAATAACGTTTTTCTGTTACCAATTAACCTTTTCACTGCCGCGGTCTTCTACAGCAGACACAAGTTTGTTTCCGTGTCCTGCACGCCACGTCCTTATGAGAAGACAATCTAATCACATTTTTTTTCAATAAAAATACCTAAACAATGAATTATTTCTTTATTTCTGGTTTGAGAGGCACCCGCTGAAAACCAGCGTCGGGGCACGCGTGGCTCGATTAATGCTGAGCGAGCGCCTTTTTGACACAAAAATACGCGTGTATAGAATAGAATAGAATAATTGTTTATTTGCATAAAACATGGTATACAGTTGTTACAGCTATAAAATAAGTCCACATGTTTTGCTACATCAAGAAGCATGCAAGTTTGAATATTAATACATAAAAAAGAAACAATGTCATTATAATTATATCAATTTTCAACAGTACAGTACCTACAGTTTNCAGGATTGCTACCGCAGGTTCGGGATGAGTATCTCATGCACTACTCGGTAAGGACGAGAACCGGTTGGCTATCAACGATAGAACGTCTCGACACGACGCTTTATGGCAAGCCGCGGATTAATGACGAGGTATCGGATCAAGCCAAAGTCGAACAGTTAGGGTTAGTAAGGAACAATGTGGATAGCTATTCGCTAGGGACTCTGTGCATGCAGCCGAGGGAACGATAGACGCGCGCGCGAACGTCTGGCTGTTGCAATGGCTCCCGAGCGAATGCTAGGCGCCCGCGGTCGCCGCCGTCTCATATATTAGCTCGGTCCGTGCGGCGTGCGGCCGCGCAGCCGTAGGGTTGTCAAAATCTCCGCGCTGGGTGCTAGGGCTGTCGATGCGTCGCGGGGCGCGTCACAACAGTAATAAGCGTTAACTATGATGTACTTAGACTTAGTACAGAATTAAAATACTTACAACCCGGTCAAGCTAACGCTAGGTGTGCAACCTAGCTGGAATGCGAATCTTCCTCGCACTCACCCGCACACCTTCCCGAGTTCGTCCCGTCCGTAGAGCGTCAATGTGACGTCACGGCAGCAGGTGCGCAGTTAACTTGACCTGGGTAGCTAAATTATTTGGTACCTTCCGTGAGGGCTTCGTTGACTTCAGATGAACCTTGCACCAGCCCATCATCTTCATCATAATCTTGAGCTGCTTCGTCACGTGTTTCTGCTGTTTAATATGAAATTTATAAAACGATTTGCACCATTTTACTAAAGCCCGGTCCGTGAGCACGTAGAATTTTGTCCAATGACCCCTAGCTACCCATCCTTATCGCTCGCGCGTAATTATATTGCTGTCGCGACTGTGCGACTGGCACCCGCAGTGAGTTTGCTAACGCGATAGCAATATAATTACGCGCGAGCGTTAAGGATGGGTAGCTAGGGGTCATTGGACAAAATTCTGTACGTGCTCACGGACCAGACTATATTTATTTTAACGGTAACTACATTAACCGGTTTTTTTGTATGGAGTTTGACAGACTTGACGTTTGAGCTGTATTTAAAGTGTGTGTACGCCCATGCGTTTGACGTTACAAAAACACCCTCCCATGCCGTTCCCACACCCCAGGCACTCAATGCGCTAGACCTACGTAGTTTTTTCCTTTACAAAATAATCCTTTACCTTCATAATCTTCACTGGCTTGGGATCCAGTCTTGGTGTCACCAAAAACGTTGCCAAACATGTTCTTTGAGAACATTGGGCCTCCAAAAAAGTTTCTATCTACCATACCACCTTCCTGATCTGTAAAAATCACATCTATTAGTAACTAGCTGACCCGGCGAACTTTGTTCCGCCTTAATGGCAATAAATAAGCAGACTTTTTTTTTATTTCGAACGGGATAAAAAGTATCCTTTGTCCTTCTCCTGGCTCTAAACTACCTCCCTGACAATTTTCAGCTAAATCGGTTCAGCCGTTCTTGAGTTATAAGTGGTGTAACTAACACGACTTTCTTTTATATATGTTACAGGAAATGTATGAATTCTAGAAATTGTATACTATTCCTAGGAAATGTATACAATTCCGAAGCTATTTATGAAATGTATAAAATATTTCTTCAGAGATTTTTTAATACGCACATATCCTAGGACATGTATAACTTTTCCTAGGAATTTTATAGAATTCCAATATTGTATTGGGAAATGTATAAAACTAAGCGGCACAAGCGCGGTCATGTGATTTAGTGCCCCTCAGTACGCCTAAAATTTTATTTAGACAAACCACATTGACCGATAGGTACTTTTAACTCACAACTATTATTGTTTAGCCTGAAAGTTGTTTTCGCACTATTATATTTTGACTGAAAAAAATATTTGCCTATTGGCATACCTTTCTTTCGGCATCACGCATATTACGCTGAAGTATTGGAAAACCCTAACTTTAACATATCTTTTATTAAACTATTATTGACATGAAGGTTTTAGTACTCCTGTAGCTGGATAACAAAGTCTCGGTTAGGTTAGGTTAGACTTGCGACCTTGTCACATACACAGCGGCCGCGGCGCGGGAGCGCCATTTAAGTTTCGGAAAAAAAAAGAAATCTTAATTACATTTCCGATTGCTGTTTAGGAAATGTGTAAATTTCCTAGGAAATGTGTCTAGTACTATTATTTACATCACACATTTCCGGGTGATTTTAGGACTTATACACAAATCCTAGGAATTGTATACAATGACGGATTTCATACATTTCCTGTAACATATATATAGATTATTATTTAGAATTTACGTTACATTTTGGTCGCTGGGGCAGAAAAAATTCTCGAGTGGCGACCACGAGCCTGAAGACGTAGACTAGCCCCCACTAGGTGGACCGACGATCTGGTAAAGTTCGCGGGAGGTGCCTGGATGTAGGCGGCGCAGGCCCGGGCGTTGTGGAAATCCCCTTTGTCCAGCAGTGGATGTCATTTGGCTGAAACTAACGAATCTCATTATAGCGTATGAGCGCGCCTTACGACTCACGACTCCAACGAGTCGAGTCGTTTTAAAATGTTGGAGTCTTTTCGTCACGACTGAGTCGTTTAAAAAACCAAGTCTTTTCAAATTGACTCAATTTAAAAATAAAAAGATACGTCCTGTTGATGAAATGATGATGATGACGAAACATATTGATGAAACGGTTGGAATCACAACTGTCAAGTTTGGAACTTTGTGAAAGCTGAATATTGATTTTATAATTACCGTCCTGATCTTTGGCTCCATAATTTCCATCTTCTGCCTCTAGAGGTTCTTCTAAGTGTCTTCTTACTTCGTCTCTCACTGGACGAAGAGTACGAGCTTTAAAATTGGGTTGTGCATTGGAATTGTTGATTTTGTCAGCTTTGGAATTTTTATTCTGTGGTTTGTCTTCGTTGTTTTTTTGGGATTTGTCTGTGTTGGTTTTCGTTTGTGTTTTCGAATTGCTAGTGCCTTCGACATTTGTTTCTGTGAATGGGACAAAATTGCGAAAATGTTAATAAAATTAAAGAGCTTAAATAATTTTAATCAAACAAGGCTTCAAGTGCTGCTTTATTAAAAAAGACTTACCATATCTTGCACTTCTCTTCGCTCTTTTCAGTCCAGTTGAATTCATTTGAACTGAAATAAAATGTAAACGTTACACAAAAATGTCGTCGTTTACTAAACGACAGTTTAGCAAATAACATAATATCACTACATAAATAGTATAATAACAAAACAAAGTCGTTTTTCGCTGTCTGTCCCTATGCTGATTTTTAAAACTACGCAACGAATGCGGTTTTTTTTAATAGACAGAGTGATTAAAGAGAAAGGTTTTTAAACTTAGCACCGGGGCGGGTCACTAACTCACTAGTACTTAAATAAAATTATATTTTTGTACAAAATTACGCACTTACCTGGTTTTCTCACATGGTTGTGATCACAGTATTTCATTTGAACTATTGTTCCCTCCACATCTGAGGATTAATTCATAATTAAATTGAGTATGTAGGTACAGTCAGCGTCAAATAGTTCGTGACACCCAAAGTAGCCAAAAAGTTCGCAACACGTCTTTGTTGTAATGAGGGCTATCGTTTTTATACTTAACAGTTGGCACCCCTGGCGATTGACAGGACCTTAATCTACAGTGGCGCCATCTTGATGAGTGCAAATGCGATAGTCCTCCTACCACTTTAGCGCTCACCAGTTGGTGCCACTGTCTTCGCTACTAGCAAGTGACAGGACCTTACTCTACAGTGGCGTTAACTGGTGAGCGCTAAAACGATAGCCCTCATTGGAATAAGGTTGTGTTTTGAACTTTTTGGTCACTTTGGGTGTCACGAACTATTTGACGCTGTACACTGTACTGTACTGTACTTTGTATAATAATTCAGGAATGGTGAAGGTCGCGGGAACCGCCTGGATGCGGGCAGCGCAGGACCGGTCTTTGTGAAAATCCTTGAGGGAGGCCTTTGTCCAGCAGTGGACGTCGTTAGGCTAAATAGAAGGCTTTAGGCTCTCAGGCTGAATATTTTATTGCAAATTAAGGAAATCAAGTCAGGCTGAAGTTACTTAGGTAGGCTACCTTTCATCATCATCATCATCATCATTTCAGCCATAGCCCTTTCAGCACGAGAGAAAAATTTGACGATTTCTAAAAAATCGCGTTAGTTTCTGGGTTCTTTAGGATCTTAGTAAATAGAGAAAAATAGCGAAAAAATTTAGGGGGTGACTTTAACCCCCCTAAACCCCCCCGCACGATCATATCAATCCGTCATGAACCTATGAATAGCTATTTCATTACAATTACAATTTAAACTAATTAAAAAAAGACATTTTAGATATAAGGAGCTTTATTATTCTTCATAAAGACATGATATCGTAATTAGATACTAATTTCTGCAAAAAAATTCAAAAATAGCTCATGGCCCTAACCTAGAACTCTGTCAAAACCTGAATTTTGGGGGTAG